AAAAATACAGTATCTACTGAACATACTTTCCCAAACTGAGGGATGAATCAGGTGTAGAAAAAATATGAAATAATTTTACATACAGATGAAAATAAATGTTTGAGAATTTTTTTAAATTTTGTATTCACTGCATGATAAAAGACCTAAAAGAACTAGTGGCCTTAGGTTTATAAAGATAGCAAAAAAAGTAAACGGTCATGATACATATTCAGATTCATTTTTGAATATTATAATGAAAGTACTTCAGTTATCTGTGTATGTAGAATTTTTGGCAGTGTTAGAAAGTGGTGAAAATTCTAAAAAGGCTATCATTATCCCTATGGGCCAGGAAATACTACCATGCCACCTATAAAAGAATAGATCTCGTGTCCCAACAAAGCATTTTATATTTACTCCAGTTGCTGTATTAAAACAAAAATATGATGATCTATCTTATTCCTTGCTGTCATTCGCTGCAGCCGAATATGTTTTTTGCTAATTTTGTGTCATTCTGACTAAGCAAGTAGTATTAGAAATAATATCTTGCTTGTTTTTTAGTAATTGAAACTAATAGTGGATTTTAAGGACAACAATTAATAGTGGTCAATTTCTAAACGTTTGTATGATTATATTTAAAACAAAGGTAACAGGATTATAAAACTGGGATTATTTTTTTCCACAATTAAAGAAAAAAAACAACGTTTCAGTTAAGACTGGAAATATAATGACTATTTATCATGACAGGTTTTACTCTCGGTGGTTTACTTTAAAACCTGAAAAGCTGCTTCTAACAAACAAATCGACTTCTACAACTTCTTCTACACGAGAACACGAAAAACATTGAACATTTATTTATGTAATCCGTCGCACCTCAACATTACTGCCAACACATGTGAGTCCTCTGCGTAGGATATAAAACAAGATAGCGTCACAATGCCACCATCCCAATTCAGCGTGACCATCGCAGTTCAGAGTCCTACATATCTACATGCCATATTAAAGCTGATTATGAACCTTGCATATAAAGAACGCATTACAAAAGGATTTCAGAGGAAATAAAAATTAAAAGATAAAATCCTCCCACCTGCCCCGGTTTTTTTAAAAAATTTGGATGAAAATCTACTAATTAATTTTAGTTGGCCTAATAATACATTTTTATTAAAGGATATATTTCATTACATTACATTGTGTAGATAAAGTTGTTGACATTGATAGATAAGTTGCAGATCTATATTAGTTTGTGACAAATGAAAGAAAAAATATAGGGAACTATTAATTATATTTGATTATAATTTGAAAATAGATATAACATCATATCTAATTTTAGAGAACTATTTTTTAGTGGTTAAATCATATCTAATTTTATAGAACTATTTTTGCTGATTACATTAGTGGTTCATGGAAATAAGTTTGAGTTATTTCCCTTTGAACAGAAATGGTTTAATTAATAAGTATTTGATCAAAAATTGAATTCTTGGGGTTCTTTGATATGCTGATTCTAACAATGTACATAGATTTTAGATATTGGACCATAATAGGTAAATGTCCAATTTCAAATTTTTCAGTTCTTTGACCACATTCATTTTGTGTCACAAACCTGTGCTTATCAAATATTCAATCACAATCCAAATTCAGAGCTGTTTTAAGCTTAAATGTTGTGTCCATACTTGCTCAACTGTTCAGGGTTTTGACCTCTGCAGGAAAATCTGGTTTGCTGTCACTCTGACAGCCTCTTGTTGTGTTTTGGTCTGTTTTTCAAAAACCCATAGCAATAGGTCAGCTATATTTGGTGTATAAAAAAATTGTAAGGTGTATATGTCTGTCTTACAGGATTTATTTGACCTTAACCTCTTTCTACTATGCAATGTATATGTTAGCATTTTGTTTAATTTTTATGATGAGGGCCTCAGGGAAGATTAGTTATATAGCTAACTGTGTAACCCTCTTAAAATAAAGTGTTGTTGTTGTTGTTAAGCCTCATTAGTTACGAGATATAAAAAAAAAGCTAAAATATGATTTTTTTTGTTTAATCATTAATGAAAGTGAAATAGTGAAATAATAATTCGCTTTTAGCAGTCATTTGGTTCAATATTATCAAAATAAGCTTGAAAACATCACTGATGAATTATTCACTTGCAAGTGAATTATTCGATCTCATTGAATCCGTATTATTCATGTGACCTTCAAATTAACCCCTTAACTAGTGATGGGTTATGCATGAATTAGGCGTGTTCAGTTATGAAAAGGAAAAGAATGTCAACATTGAAAGTGAAACAAGGGTAAACCATTTGATTGACTGATTTGATCCACAAAAACTCATTCTTATACAAACGATGATTAACATATATTTTAACCTATAATATGAAATCAAACAGACCTAGAAAAACCCAACAGCACGAGTCCACTATCTATTTATATCTATATTTATGTTTATATCGGGTTACATGACGGTCAGCAGTAATTGGAGGTCACCTCGATGGTTAATTAGATGGCATCTAGACTGAAATACACAAGAAATGCTGAAACATATAATCAAGCCCATGCATAATAAATTGTTTATTTTAGATTTTTATGCCCCCGCCGTAGCGGAGGGGCATTAAGTTTAACCCTTGTCCGCCCGTATGTCCCAAAGTTGGTTTCTTTTCTCTAACTTAAGTTTGCCTCAACCAAATGTTATGAAATTTATACACAATGCTTATTACCACAAAACACAGATCAACTTTGAATTTTGGTGGCGTCACTTAAACTGTTGTAGAGGTATGCTCCTTAACAAATGGAAAAATTTGTTTCTTTATAATTTAGATATACGTTTTAGTATGTTATAAATCAAATATGAGAATTTGAGTCAAATTGGTGAACACGAATTTGACAGCTAATGCCCCTTTAAGTTTATGTGATTCTTTAAGTTAAAACTTTATCTTTAAAACTTCAACATAAAATCAATGGTCAGTAAAGCAGGTGAGACATTTTTGCATGTGTACTCTTGTTTATAATTAGGTCCTTTTCTTTTGATTTTAAGGTGCACAAGTCCTTCTGGCAGGTTTTATCTGACTTTGACCTAATTTTCATGGTTTATTGTTTGTTTAGTATTTGTGATAAAGTCCTTTTATCAGATGTAACAAGTTAAAGGTTAATGGTGTTCGGTATACATTCTGTCTGGCAGTGATCATTGGACCTTGATTCCTTTCAATTGTTTCAGCATATGCACTCTTGTTTAATTATTTTGTATATTAGACAAAATATTAGGTATGATTGCCAATGAGACAAATATCTACTAAAGATCAAATGATGTAGATTTAAATAACTATAGGTCACTTTACAATGAGCAAAACCCATTCCACAAGTATGTTTTTCTTTACGTTGCAGTATGGTCAATGAGACTTTAGTAGATGCCTTCTAGATGTCTTTTGGTTATATTTGTTGTTCAGTTGCTGTATTAATATGGGTATATTTACAATATTTATTGTATCATATAAAGATAATTAAAAAAAATTTGAATTTAATCTGCTTACCAAATTTGGCCACTATTGATAATATTAAAACAAATTCTAGAAACTGCCTCTGTTAGCATTATTTTAGAAATAATCTTATAGGAAATTGAATTGAAAACTCAGAAACTAGTTCATTTGCTGTTTTTTTTCTTTTTCTTTTTTTTACTTATTTTAAAGAAGGAGGTATGATAAGAGCCATTGTTTAGCCCATGAAATTGCGAAAAATAGTAAATTTATTCAAGCCTTTCAAAATTAAGTTAATTTGATTGATAAATGAACATGTTAATATACTTGGACCCTTTAGTGCAGAAAGTTGAAATTTTTACATATAGGACAAATGGCCATACATGCATACCTTTTGTCCATAAAAGAAATGTGCAATAGCTTTACCCAAAAAAGATATCTTACACACTTTTTACATCTTTGTAAATACAGTTTGTAGCAAAATATCATGTCTAAATATTAATGACAAGATCTGAAAATGAATAATTTTTGTTGAGTTTGCCATTTCTAATTTGTGGTCCTTGAATTTACTAATTTGTGAATGATAAATCAAGAAAAGTCAACCCAATAGATTCAAATTGTGATAAAATATTATGAACTAAAATTGCAAATTGAAATTAAAATTAATCAATTTTACATTTACCACTCCAGAATTATAGTTTTTGATTTTTTTTTAAATAATGGTATTTGTGGTTTATTGATGGCAAATGGGGAGACTCTATAAACCTTTTTTGAATGTTTTGGACAACAAAATTAAGTTAATTTCATATGACAGTGAACCAATGCCTGGTCAATCTTCAATACGATAGAATTCTGAAAGTGGATATCTCCGGTATGCAGGGTTGTTAAGTTAAGATCAATTTTAGTTGATTTTTTTTACATTGTTTTAAGAAAAATTCTAATTTGGTTGAGAAAAAGGTTTCAAAATCCATAAATATAAGACAGCCTTGTTTGTCTAGCTCTTTGATTATAATGATGAACGATGAATATGTATAAAATCATACAGTACAAACGACTTTGTTAAAAAGAATAAAAAATACTGTAAAGTATTCTAAATAAAGTTTATAAAGCAGATATCTTTCATTTAACATTAGCTCTAAAAGTAATTTCAAAAGTCAAAAGGATAATTGTAAGATTAAATCATTTTTATACCCCCAATCTATGAATGGGGGCTGTAGTGCAATACACTTACTTCCTTTCTACAGATACTTTGAATTTTTCAATATATTGAAAAAAAACAAATGTTTTCATCACACTTTTTTCTCAGAAATTACTAAACAAAACTTGGTACATTTGTATTTGGTCAACAGCTTGACAGTGATGAGTTGTCACCTGTGAGAGCTTTTCATATCTGTAGGACACCTTCTTTTTGTTTGCAGATAATTGTTTTTAAATAAACAAAAAACAATTTAAAGGAAGAAATAGCCCATTTGAAATAGTGCTTTTTAATATCTGATTGCAGAATCTAATCTTATATCTGTAAATTTTCTGATAAATTTATATATCTGGATTTTTTTTAATTAACAGCTACTACTACAACATCAAGACCAGATTGCTCCTGATTCCCAGGACCCCTTACATGAGTTATTGGAAGATTTAAGTGATGTTCCAACTGTAATAGAGTTATTAGGTACATACTTTCAACATAAGTAAACCAAGACAATGAAACATAAATACAAATATTGTTTGAAATTATGCAGACAGTGTTTCAGGTTTAAATGGTGTTGAGTGACTGATATTTTACTATATCATATATGTTTATCTTTGTTTAACTGTTTTTTGTTCATACCCTTAATAGAAAAACAAAGGATATGGGGTATCCATCCATGACCCAAAATCAGTACATGCACAGCTAAAATACACACAATAGGCAAAAACACAGTGCTTTTATTCTCTGCAAATTGTTTGCAAAATATTCGGATAGACTTTGTAAGATGTATCACCAGCAAATCGGGCCAAGTCAAAAAAGAACATACTGGAAAGTAGTACATATTTAAAACAAAATAGTTCCTACGCTTAGGTGTAAATGTAAAACTATGTAGAATATAATTTAGTTATTAAGCTATCAACTGAAAGGTGAAGGACTGGTGATCCTTGTAGAACACATATTGACTGATAATATTGAATGATGCAAAAACGTATCAATGAATTCTAAAATTGAGGGCATATATTTATTGCCTGTTTCTCAGATATGAAGTACCTGGTTTGGTGTATCCAAAGTTCCTGTAACCAGTAGGGTCTGATGTATAAATAATGGTATCTTGATCCCCCCCCACTAGAATGTTTGGAATTGAAAAACTAAACATGGATAGCAATAGAGAATAGTTGGTGTGCGTCTTATTAAAATTTTAGTACACAAACTGGCAAAAAATTGAGAGAATGATGTTGCACACATTAGAGAATTTGACTCAAGAATAAATACACCATAACTTGATAAAATACAGCAGAGCATACATATCAAGCACAAGGAAAATTTCTGCGGCCTCCACACAGCACGAGAAACAAACTCTGTTAATATAATAGAAAAACAAAGTATATGGGGTATCCATCCATGACACGAAATCAGTACATGCACAGCGAAAAACATAGTTTTATGCTTTAAGATAGTATGTTTGATAACGTCTCCTCACACATTGTGACATCTCTGATGATGTCTACCTATGTCTCAAAGCTGTGATGCGAGAATTACAGAGGGACTAAGCAGTGTGATATAGGCGAAGGGAAGAAGGATAAAATATCAGAAGTAACTTATTGTTTTTGACTGGGTTTGAAGAATTCCAAAACCGGCTTGCAGTATGATGATGTTGGTCGGGCGGGGAAAAGTGGATACATGATTACTCCTACAGTTTTAAACCCAGATCCCTGAAACTTCACAGGAAGATTGCACATATGTTGAAGTTGTGCACCTGCTATTATGGAATTGTTTGAGAAATTTTTCCCCATTTTTCTAGACTTGGGAACTTATTCATTATTCAGCAAAATTTAGTCACAAATATTGCAAGCCGGCAATTTGAGACTTTGACCTATTTTCTAGCTATGTCTTCTGATAAGGGCAAATTATCCTTGAAAATAGATGAATGTCCTTGAGAAATCCTGCAAAAGCCTGGAAAAGAGAGTGGGAAGGCAGCCTTCACTTGGCGTCCTTTGTCCATTGTTGTCATCCATCCCTCAATATTTTGTACAATCTACTCTGAAATCACTTGTAAATTAAAACCAAACTTGGTTACAATCATCCATTGTGGTGGACTTTAGATTTTCTACACTGATCAACCAAATGTAAAAAAATCATAATTAAGTATGCTAGACATTTCTCTTTTTAATTTAATTCCTAAATGTAAGGTTCTAAAAAAAAAATGTTATACTGAAATTAAGAAATCATAAAATTTCTTGAAAATAAGATACACAAGCTCATTAAAATAAATGTTTTCATGCATAGAAAAAATTTGCAGAAATGGAAAAAAAAAAAAATTTTAAGAATGTCAAGTAAAATATATAACGGAATATTTACACTCCAACATAATAAAATCTCACATATAAAAAATAACAGAATTTTGACGTCATATATTATAAATATATTTTATGTGAATGTCTGGTTTTGACTTTTGAACCCTTTTAAATTCATCTTTTTGTTGAAATAGAGCAGAATCCCCAAGTTATGTTTTAATTTTACAGGTGGAGAGATTCCTGAGGATGAAAACATACAAGAGATGTTGATAGCACAGCTAGGTAAAACTGAAATTTCACTCACTTTGACAAACAAATTTGAAGTTCCAGAAGATGATCAAGCTGATGTCAAACAATTGCTGATCAGGTATTTATATAGTAATTCACTGAAACAAATACTCATTATATGTGTGTAAATGACTTAATCGATACACATTATTGACATACTTACGAAGTAATCTAACAATTCAAGAAAATCAAATAGAAGTCAACGTATTGTCTTCAATGATAAATGTCGTCTCAGGACATCAAGTTATAAGAACTTTCATGCTCATAGTTGGTTAAATGGATTAAAACAATGCGACAAGATTCCCCACTTTGAACAAGCATATTAAAAATTGTGACAGGGTTAAAACTACTTAACATTCTGCCTATTGTCTCATACAAGGAAATAAAAAAGTATAAACATGTAAAATATTGCATGAACATTTGTAATATTTCCCAGTCAGCAGGCATGAGATGTTAGTGATTACCATAAACAGTTTTTAGCTCAACTTATTTGAGCTTTTGCCATTACTTATTTCCATCTTCCGTACACTCGTCATCTATATGCCATAAACTTTTCTTTAAAAGGTTGAAAAGCTGAGTGTTGACTGATAAGGAAAGAGTCAGAGAAGCCCAAAAAATAAACAGAATGGATGACATTCAACCATTATAATTCTTTTTCAATAAATTTTCACCACAATTTTATTTTTCTTGCCAGCGGAAAACCTGGCTTAAATAAACATTATCTTCATTTTCCCTAGCAAAGACTTTCAAATCCATGTAACAGATTTAATTATGTAAGTGATTTTTCTACAAATTTCAGATGCTTTTCTTATGGTATACCGTTGTCCGTCTGTCTGTCCGTCATCAACATGTCGGACATTAACTCAAAAACGCTTTAACCAATTTGCATAAAACTTTGGTGAATTGTTTATATCTATTAATGTAAGCTCCCTTTAGAATTTTATAAATTTTACATTTTACATTTCTGAGTTATGGGGTTTTATTCATTAAAAAAGGGGGGATTTTCCAGTTTTCGGACAATAACTCAAAAATGCTGTCAGCAATTCTCATGAAACTTTGGTAAATTGTTTATATCTATTGATGTAAGCTCCCTTTTGATTTTCATAAATTTCTAATATGACATTGAGAATTTATTGAACTTTATTTGTTTATAGTCTGAAAACAGATTTACTAAGTATTGCGCAACAGCACAGTGTATTACACAACAGCAAGAAATCTTTAATTGAATATAAATTCAATTCATATAACCAATTTCAAGTTCTTTGACTAGATTTATTCAGAAACCTATAATATGTCAAATATTTAATTACAATCCAAATTCAGACCTGTATCAAGCTTGAATATTGTGTCCATTTTTGCCCCAACTGTTCAGGGTTGGACCTTTGCAGGGCGTATCAAGCTGGGCTCAGCGAAGCAGTTTATTTTCCTTTTTTTTTCTTTAAAATTTTCCATTTTAAATTGGTTATTTCTGATTTATATATAAAAGCAAATAATAATGATATGGTTTGAATAGGTAAATTAAAAAATGTTAAGTTCTTAGACCACATTCATTCTGTGTCAGAAACCTATGCTGTGTCAAATATTTAATCACAATCCAAATTCAGTGCTGTATCAAGCTTGAATGTTGTGTCCATACTTGCCCCAAATGTTCAGGGTTGGACCTCTGCGGTCGTATCAAGCTGCGCCCAGCGGAGCATTTTATTCAAACCCGCATTAGAAAGTTACTATCTTTTTTTGAATTTTTATGCATACGCTAGTCATGTTGATCAAAAGTGAGGACAAATACCTACTGAAATGTACACTTTCTTTAAGCAATGAAACCAGTAGATGTTTAAGGTATAAATCAGATAGCAAGTTGGACTTATTTAAAGAAAATCTTTGATTTCAAATAAAGGCAGTTAGGAATCTATTGTTATTGTTTTAATGTAATGCAAAGTATTATAGCCCACTTTAAAAGTGGATGATGTATTTGCAATTACTTTGTCCACCTGTCCTGCTATTGGTCAGTCTGGCTGTTCCTTCATCCATCCTTTCTTCAAATAAATATTTGTGTCCCATTTTTCTCAGGAACCACTTAACATAACGACTTCATATTTAATCACCTGCTTAACAGCGATTATTTCTAATATATGAGCACTTTTCAGACTGTCAGACACCTACCTGTTTGCCGATACTTTAAATATTTCAATATGCTGAATGAACTTTGAAAAATTGGTAACACATTTCTACTACTGAAGAGAACACTTTCATATTTGATGATAAACTTTACAATGATGAATTATGAGTTTGGGTATGCTTAGCACAAAAATGCATGTGTTCTGGTTTCTTGCCTTATTGTAAGGGAATTAATGCAATCTGGTTTCAGTGTTAAATCATATACATCCATAAAAGAGTTTATGCTTCTTTGTTGTCGAGCCTGCGATTTTTGTCGCAGAAAGCTCGACATAGGGATAGTGATCCGGTGGCGGCGGCGTTAGCTAACTTCTTAAAAGCTTTATATTTTAGAAGGTGGAAGACCTGGATGCTTCATACTTTGTATATAGATGCCTTATGTTACGAAGTTTCCTTCTGTCACATGTCCATTGTCCTTGACCTCATTTTCATGGTTCAGTGACTACTTACAAAAAAAATTGTGTTTTTTTGTAATGTTAATTTCTCTCTTATTATGAGTAGTAGGATAACTATATTTGGTATGTGCATACCTATCAAGGTCCTCATGCCCGTCAGACAGTTTTCACTTGACCTCGACCTCATTTCATGGATCAGTGACCAAGGTTAAGTTTTGGTGGTCAAGTCCATATCTCATATACTATAAGCAATAGGTCTAGTATATTTGGTGTATGGAAGGATTGTAAGGTGTACATGTCCAACTGGCAGGTGTCATGTGACCTTGACCTCATTTTCATGGTTCAGTGGTTATAGTTAAGTTTTGAGTTTTGGTCCGTTTTTCTTATACTTTATGCAATAGGTCTACTATATTTGGTGTATGGAATGATTGTAAGGTGTACATGTCCAACTGGCAGGTGTCCTCTGACTTTGACCTCATTTTCATGGTTCAGTGGTCAAAGTTAAGTTTTTGAGTTTTGGTCTTTTTTCTTATACAATATGCAGTAAGTCAACTATTTTTGGTGTATGGAAATATTCTATGATGTACATGTCAGTCTCACAGGTTTTATTTGACCTTGACCTCATTTTCACGGTTCATCACAAAGTTTATGTGTTTCAGTCTGTTTTTCTTAAACTATAAGCAATAGGTCAGCTATATTTGTTGTATGGAAGGATTGTAAGCTGTTCATGTCTGCCTGGCATGGTTCATCTGACTTTGACCTCATTTTCACGATTCATTGGTCAATGTTTAGTTTTCTTGGTTAAGTCTGTTTCTTAAAAACTATAAGCAATAGGCCAACTATATTTAGTATATTGAATGATTGTAAGGTGTACATGTATTTCTCATTTGGTTTATATGACCTTGACTTCATTTTCTTGGATCATGTTAAGTTTTTGTAATAGTTGTAGTAAAGCTTTCATTTAGGACTATCAACATAATATCAATGGTTAGTAAAGAAGGCTAGACATTTCAGCGTGTGCACTCTTGTTTTACTTATTACAATAAAATCTACTTCAGGACAAAGAGAATGGTTGTTGATGTTATAGCCTGTCAACCAGCAGAAAATGTAAAGCAAATGTTAGAAAATCCTTCTACAGATGAACAGGTAATATTTTGTTATAAATATCCTGAAGCATATCACCAATCTGTCTTGCATATAAAATGTCTTGTATAACTATGTAACTTACAAATTAGGGCTAACGTAGTGCTTGTTCAGGGGTTGATAATTCCTAAAACCAGAGAAGCAAGACTCTGTCAGTTGAACTTTTATATCATGAAAAAAAATTCATATAAAGGATAGTCTTTGAAGCAATTTGCAAAAATTGGCCTCAAGAAAAGTTGGCAGTGTGAAAGATTTATTTTGCCTAATGTATTTGTCAGGTTTGAATACACATTCTGCCCATGAATATTCAAAGTCAATTCATGTAAAGGTATATTCTACGCATAGTCAAGCATCAGCAAGATACATGATGCATCCTTTTGATCTTGAATCTACTTTCCCTTTCAACATACCACCTTAGCAGTCAGTGACTTTAGAAGTTCTGGACAAAAAGTCTTTGAACAGATGGGTGAAGATAAAACCATATGTAGAAACTCATCAAAGATACCAATAAAGAAACAAAATAATGTGGCAAGTGGGCACACAGATTTCTAGGAAGTTGAACATTGGTATTCCCACTGGAATTTACAGGAGCATATGTTTTGTATCTACTACTGAAAATATTTCAGTATGTATGACAGAAATAAAACATTGACCAGGGTGGGGGAGGTGGAATCATGAAAAGTGATAGAGCTGACTTCCTCTGTGTAAACCACATCTTAAAAGATTAAAAGTTCTCTTCCAAACCCAGCAGAATTAATGTATAAAATCAGAAGCAACAGAAATGTTTAAATTTTAATTGGTTCGGAGTTCATACATTTAAAAAATGTAGGACTGAACTCTTCTGTCCTAGCTTGTCTAAATCATAAGATGAAAGTCTTAAGTGTTGACCTGACTGTTATTGATAACTTTGACATCAGCTTATGTAAAATCAACTTTTGGTAAGTTTGCAAAGCATGGAAGTTATCAGTGAATATAGTTGATCTTTTCATTGTTGTGTAAAAGCATAGAAGTTATCAGTGAATATAGTTGATCTTTTCATTGTTGTGTAAAAGTAAAGCCATGCTTGTTGAAATTTTTCATGTCGAATATTCTGGCAACTGATATTAAATAAGGAGATGACCTGCAACAATGAGCAAAATCCTTACCACAAAGTCAGCTATTAAGACCTGACAAAAAGTGAAACAATTCAAACAAAAGTATTGATCACCTGATTAATGACAAAACAATAAAAGAAAAACAAATATGACAGATAGCAACCAATGACAACCACTAAATCACAGGCTCCTGACTTGGGACAGGTACATATAGAATGTGACATTGTTAAACATGTTTGTGAGCACACAACCCGCCTCCAACCTGGGACACTGTTGTAGAGGTAACAGCACAACATAAGAAGGAAATGTAAAAGTTAAAATAGCTTGCCTCATCAGATCTGCAGAAAGCACACAAATAACAACTAACATGAGTGGAAAATAAACAGACAATGCCATGGCAAAAAAAGAAAAAGACCAAAAGACAAACAACAGTAAACAAAACACAACATAGAAAACTAAAGACTGAGCAACATGAACTCCACCAAAAACTGGGGGGTGATCTCAGGTGCTCAAGGTAATAAGTAAATCATACTTTCCAAGTCTAAAGTGTCAATCAGTACACATCCAATAGATTTAGTGCAAAGATACTATAAACAGTCTGAGAAAGCATGACCTTGTGCAATTTCAAAATATCCGTACATATTATCAACAAGATATAGGACCTCAGTTTTCATAAATGTATTGCAATAAATATTTAGTTTTGTTTTAATCTAAAAACATTATTCAAAGAGTTTTCTATGGTGTTACATTAAATTAGATTAATCAAATGATCAATGAGTTTTTACATGGATTGTATCTAAATGTAAAGGCTTTATAAACAACATTACCATAACATTAGGATGTGATATCCCATTTTTGATAAGAATTCTACAAAGGTACAGCCAAACTTCAAAATCAAATCTTTTTATATACGAAAGAATTTATTTTAAAGTTTTAAATAATTTATGGTAACGAAATCCCAGACGTAATATTTTACTACATCTACATATACATTCATTTAAATCTAAGAGACATCACTACAGACACAAGCATAGGGTACAAGTTGGGAAGGATGCACACTGTAAGAAGGGGCGAAAGGAAAATTACCATCCAAAAAGGAAAATTAACAGTAGGGAATAAAAAATCGTCTCTTGTCTTTTTATTTGCTTTTTCCCTGTAAAACTGAAAAATCCTAATCTAGAAAAGGACAATTATTGCTGTTAATGTAAGATTTATTTAAAGTATGTTCCATTGGGTAAATTCTGCAGTATAATTAGAAAAGTCTTGCTTGTTTAGAGCACAAATATCTTAAAGGTAACAGTAAGTGTTGTTGAATATCATAAATGTAACAGTAAGTGTTGTTAATAATAATATCATAAAGGTAACAGTAAGCGTTGTTAAATTTATCCATTAAATGGAATTTACACAGATCTTAACTGATTTTTGCCAATAACTGTGATTGATAACAAAACAGTATGACATGACTTAAACCCAAAAATATATTGTGAAACCCTTTTGTATATTTGAAAGATGTGTAAACAGCCACTAATAATGCAGGTAATTGTAGGTGAAGGTCATATTTGCTGGTGTTTATCATTTCTCTGTTTGGACATTGTGTTTAGGAACTATTTGATGAGTTCTAAGAGAAAACTTTTATATGCTTTTTCTTTTTTACTCAAATTGAATTTAACATAATTAAAGATTGTTCTCAACTTAAGAAATTAATTTTCTTTATCTTTATGAAAAAAACTTGATTCTTTGTTTGAGATCATTTCTGACCTAGATTTTTAAGTACTGCTATATTCAAGAATTTTCAATGTGTTTTCTGATTTTATTTTGTCATGCAACTGTAATGATGTGGTTATTTCTCATTAAATCAAGAGCAGAACTTGACTCAATCAATGAAAAGTTACCTTTGAAAAAAAATGTTAAGAGCAAATATAAAGTAAAAAGGCAAACATATTGAAGATAGAGATGATGGTTAGAAATATTTAGGGTGGACAAAATAGGCATTACAACTTATGCTGTATAATTATTTCAAGTTTATGCATGAAAACACAAATCTTTGAATACTATGTAGTCTGTATTGAAGGTGTTGTAATGAACTTCCAGTTATAAAATTTTTGTTGTTGTGTTGTTGAAATATATTAGATTTAGTTTTCCTGTTTGAGTTTTTCTGTTATGGTTAAAAGAGACCTTGTATATGGCTTACTTTATGGTATGGGTTTTGACCTCTTGTAGAATGCTGTACAGTCACCTATTTATGTGTTGATATAAAATCCTTTTTCCTGTGATCTTCGGTATTTGGTCGTCTCATCGACAATACATATCATTTGTTATCATGAATGACTAACCGTATACTGGTACACCTAATTTCAAATTGTGATATTATCATGCAAATTGTTTGGAAATTGGAACATTTTTTAAAAAAGTGGATTTCGCTAGAATTGAATGAAGTGTTATGTGAATAAAAAAAAATCTGAAAAATCCTGTTAAGGTCCAACTTTCTAGTTTTGGAAAAGTACTGTTAATTCAGAAATTATTGCATGCATTTATTAATGCGATTTTGGAAAAAGGACAAAATACAAGACTTATCATTGCGATTTCAGGAAAATCTGCATACAGATAAATGGATCAGATATCAGAATGCGAGTTCTTATTATTGCAATACGGTACCTAAGCAGTCGCATTATTCGCATTAATAAAAACTAATTAATTTCTGAATTTACAGAATACATTTGTGGTATTCCATTTAAATCCTTGTTGATGACACCTTATGCTGTCATATATGACTGCTGTTGTTCCAAGAAATATTGAAAATGACAAAAAATTCAGAAGGGAAATACATCCCTCAAAATGGCATGTCTTATGCCGTAACTGTGTAACCCTCTTTGAATAAGGAACTATTATTATTATTATTATTATTATTAAAGTAAACACAGGCATGTTGGGAATACCTTTTTGGTTCACTCTTTCTTGGAAAAGAAGAAAAAATCTTTTGAAATCAATATCTATTTCATCAAATTTGTTGTTATGGACTTTAATTAACAGCCAAAACAAGTGCCATCAATGATAATGCTGAACTGGATTGAACTTTTTAAATAAAATTTTCCTTGATTATTTATCTATTACAACTTGTATGAAATTTTATAGGAAGAATTAGTTTTTCCTCATTGCTGCATTCTAGCCTAGAGTGCTGGTGACCATGGGTTTGATTTCAGGATTGGTTTTATAATGACTTTAGAAATAGTATTTGCTGCTACTCCATTTATGAGTTAATGAAAAGATAGGCCAGCTCAAGAATCAAAATAATATTTCTTAGTAGGGCTGTATGTCTTCCTTTGGACATATATGATACTTTGTGAACTAGCAAATTAAAAATCTGACAGCCTGTCTGTCTAGTGCAAAGCAGGGGAAATCATATTTCATTAACATCTTATCCTGAAATATTTGCAATGAATGTCAAGCAAAAGACAGTCAGTATAAAGCTTTGCAGAAATCTGTATTTTGTTTCAACAAATTTGTGTAGGTATCAAGTAATGAATCTGTTATTGTGTTTATGTTTATCCATCTATCTGTACATTTTTTGTAGACGACAAATTTGTCAAGTTTTCCATCCAGTCCATCAAACTGCTTTGTGTTTGGAATGTATCTAGTTTCAAAGTCGGTAGTCAAAGATCAAGATAACTTTTTCCCTATGTGTTTATATGTTGGGAAACCAATCTACATCAAACTTAGTATGACAATTTGATATCAATGGCAAAGTTCAAGGTCGCTTGAAAGCATTCTTAAGAAATAGCTGTTTAGATGATGTTTGATTTTGATAGGATGTCCTGCTGTGTTCTGCTCTTGTTTTGATACTTGAGAATTGTTGTAGCCACAATTGTACTACAATGATTATACCCCATGGAACAAAGTTCCGTAGGGTTTAATGTTTTTGACCCGTTCGTCCGTCTGTCCGTTAGTCCTGTTCACAACTCCTCTGAAACCACACAACAGAATTTCATGAACTTTGTAGATAATAAGGACATACTATGTAGGTGTGCATATCGAGTTATGCCCCTTTGAATTTAGAATTTAGGCCTAAATATACTACTGCAACATTTTGTCATCGCAACTCCTCTGAAATCTCAGAACAGAATTCCATGAAACTTTGTAAATAATAAGGACATACTATGTAGATGTGCATATTGACAGGAAATTATGATTCAATTTTTTTTTTAAAGTTATGCACCTTTGAACTTACAAATTAAGCCTAAATATACTACTGCAGCAGTTTGTCATCACAACTCCTCTGAAATCATGCAACAGAATTTCATGAAACTTTGTAGGACATAATATGTAGATGTGCATATCCACAAGAAATTTTTATCAGTTGACTTTTGTAGGAGTTATGACTCTTTTAACTTAGGATTCTGGTGAGATTATGTTTGCCAAGTGACAATGTGGGAGTGTGGAGTATGTGAGCACCCTCACAAAGGTTCTTTAATTGAATCTCTTCTGTTCAACTGCAATACCAGTAATGAAACAGAATTATTACCCTAATTGAAATTCCCACAGAGTGCTTACAATGTTTTATCCACCGATGTAATGACACATGTGACTTCTAAGGCTAAATAAAGGCTGTACTTAGTTATTTCAATGTTAGGATGTGGTGTCTGAAAACTTATGTAACAGTTTTAACTTTTGCAGTTCTTGGAACTTTGTACATATATAATCTTGGAATGTTTAATTCACTCAAAATTTGGTTTTAATTTTTTTGGCAATAGGAAGATATACATCAAGCGATTGTGAAGAAAAGAGATGTCAGAGACAAGAAAATGACAGAATCTCAGGGCACTGGAGTAGTACGTCAACAGTCAATTCTAGGTGATGCAAGGTAAGCTAGTAATATTATGTCATGTACTTTTTGAAGGTTCCATTTTATAGGGGATAGTTTTTGGAAAGATTGGAACTTGTTCTAAATCTTTCCTAAGGCATCGGCCTCCCTAACAACAAGAAGCACAGGTTAGCTACTAAATCTACAAAATGTATACACTCTGAAATATAGTTCCCTATAATTCTCATGTCTGTGTACATATGCACAAATAAATTGTGAAAAATTTGGGTATATTTTTGGAGCAGTTCATTCAAGTATGTATGTCTTTAAGGTGTGTTGATGTGCAGGCTATTTTTTGTCATTTTGAATAGGTAACTAGAGTAATGATACTATACCGGTATGATTAACAACTGTCATGATCACCAAACAATCAGAGACGAGGTAGGGCCTAAATTTCAATGCCCCACCTCAAGTGCCAATCATATTGACCACATTGGTGAACCTCAGTCTTACATAATTATACAGACCTTTCAATTTACATCTCAATCCACTCTCGATACACAAATATTTGACCTCATAATTGAATTCACAAATGTATATATTAGATGTTTGATATATATACAGAGATGATAGATTTATTCATTGCCTATTACTTTTGATCTACACTACATAAAGTGTTTCTGTAAATAATGTCTGAAAGATAAATGATTAATTATCCTCCGGTTTTAAAAAAGTTTGGGTATACCTCTGTCTGTCCGTCTGTCCTTCCATCCGCCCAATGAATATTTTTCGTCCCTTCTTTCTCAGGAACTACATCATAAGGATTTCTGAAATTTGGTTTCAGGGTTTATGTAAGTCAGCTATACCGTGTGATGTGTTTTCAGATTCATCACTCAACAACTTCCTGTTTACCGTCAAGTATTTGAGCAGAAGCTCACAGTTTCACTTGTTAAGGATTAATACACTCTACAATTTTTAATCTTCAGTGTCATATAATCATATTTATACCCCACGCAACGGGTTGCGGAGGGTATAATGTTTTTGACCCGTCAGTCCGTCCGTCCGTCAGTCCGTCCGTCCGTCAGTCCTGTTTCTTGTCATCGCAACTCCTCTCAAACCACCCAACAGAATTTCACGAAACCTTTTTAGATAATAAGGACACACTATGTAGTTGTACATATCGACAGGAATTGCGATTCAATTTTTTTTCTAGGAGTTACTCCCCTTTGAACTTATTTACTTTAATGTACTTCTGCAACAGTTTGTCATCGCAACTCCTCTCAAACCACACAACAGAATTTCATGAAACCTTTTCAGATAATAAGGACATACTACGTAGATGTGCATATCGACAGGAAATTAAGATTCAATTTTTTTTCCAGGAGTTCCGCCCCTTTGAACTTATTTGCCCAATATACTACTGCAACCTTTTGTCATCGCAACTCCTCTCAAACCACACAACAGAATTTCATGAAACCTTTTCAGATAATAAGGACATACTACGTAGATGTGCATATCGACAGGAAATTACGATTCAATTTTTTTTCCAGGAGTTACACCCCTTTGAACTTATTTGCCCAATATACTACTGCAACCTTTTGTCATCGCAACTCCTCTCAAACCACACTACAGAATTTCATGAAACTGTGTAGATAATAAGGACATACTATGTAGATGTGCATATCATCAGGAAATTACGATTCAATTTTTTTTCCAGGAGTTACGCCCCTTTGAACTTATTTGCCCAATATACTACTGCAACCTTTTGTCATCGCAACTCCTCTCAAACCACACAACAGAATTTCATGAAACTGTGTAGATAATAAGGACATACTATGTAGATGTGCATATTGACAGGAAATTATGATTCAATTTTTTTTTCTGGTACAATTTTTTTTCTTACACTTATTTTATTTCTCCAATGACAATATGGGGACGTGGAGTATGGGAGCGCGCTCACTAAGGTTCTTTCATTGTTTTCAAAATCAATAAGCAATTCTCAGAAGAGAAAAATAGTGTACCTATGTTCCAACTTACAAAATGCCCCAAAACAACCTTTTTAGATTAATTTTTTGACACAATAAAGTTCATAGCTTCAAGTCAATCTGTTGGTCCTATGTCTTACAAGGATAATTGATAAACTTTAATAAAAGAATCTTTGTTTTGTAATTTCGTTTGTTTCAAAAGATGAAATGTAATTAAAAGAGGTGAAACATGTAACAGGGAACATTATTTGGTTAAGATATACACTGCAATTTAAATGAAATTATTGTGCAAATTAAGGGACCAGCTATCATTCAATTTGATTCACATTTAGCTCAATTTATATACTGAAAAAGTGCTTATCCTTCTAAAGACCTGCAGTTAATGCAATTATCAGCAAAAGTGCTTAATTAATGTTCTTTTTTGTCCACACCATACCTAAATATGATTTGAAATTATTCAAACTACTCTTCTTATCTTTCCATGAGTGATTTCCATCACTTTGATTATAAATTTCTTTGACCCCTTTCAATGTTAATATAAATTTAAGGAGATTTGGTATGATTGCCATTGAGATACTATACACTGCAGACCATAGGACGTGGATGTAAGCAGTTATAGTTCACTGTATGGCTTTTCACAATAAGCAAAACCTATACCTGTATAGTAAGGTATAAATGGCCCCAGCAAGACAAAATGTGAAACAAATCAAACATCGAAAACAGATGGCATGATTTATGCTTAGGTTAGATTAAGTCAGCTACTGGTCAGAGATAGGTCAGCTTAGGTACCAGAGGCTTGAATATGGCAAGATTGATACACTCATTTGTGAGGTCAGTTGTGCTTTTAGAAAGCTTTTGCCTGTGAATTTTATGTGATGTGGGGTTAATGCAAATAATGGCAGCAACTGTTTAGTAATTGATTGCCTAAAAATCTTGTGAAAAACTTTATTTAGGCAATGCTTGTGTATTATTTCTGAAACAGGACTTTATTTCTGTCGTCAGGTGTTTTAAAAACTTTTACAAAAACCTTCTCCTCTGAAACTACTAGGCCAAATTTAACCAAACTTGGCCACAATCACAATTAGGGTATCTAGTAAAAAATGTGTCAGATGACCCTGCCTGCCATCTATCATGGCCAACATGGTTAAAAATAGAACATAGCAGTAAAATGCAAGTTGGTCTATTATCTTAAAAAACCGCTATGAATGGAGAAAATCTGTCAGAGGCAAAAGTGTTCAGAATGATGAGATCTACCAACTGTTTATTTACTTCAAAACTGTCAGACTATTTCTGATAGGAGTTATTGCCCTTAAATGGTGAATTTTACCGATTTTTTTCATGTTTGCCTAAAATCTGAAAAAACTATAATAGATAGAGAGAAACTTTATATACCAAAAATGATTAACAAGACAATATCTACTAATAAGTCTGATGGTCGAAATCATCAGTCAACTCCTTATTGGAGTCAATGGCCTTTAATGACGATTATTATCATTTTTTTTGCGTTTTTGCTTAATATCTGAAAAACTATAATAGATAGATAGAAACTTAAATAAGCAAAATTGATCAGCAAGACAAGCTCTACAATTAAGTTTACAATCTTGAAATCGTCTGATGACCTCTTATTGGAGTTGTTGCCCTTTGGTAATGAATTTTACCTTTCTTTTTTTTTTGCGTTTTTGCCTTGTATCTGAAAAACTATTGATAGATAGAAACTTAAATTAGCAAAAATGATCAGCAAGACTTGATCTACAAATAAACCAATTGCCAAAATCATCAGTTGACTCCTTGTAGGACTTGCTCTTAATGACGATTTTTACCGATATTTTACGTTTTGACTACTATCTTGAAAACTATAAAAGATAGATGATCAGCAAAATAAGATCTACAAATAAGTAAAAGTTTGCTAAATTGTTGGTTTACTCTTTACTGGAGTGATTGCCTTAATTGATTTTTTTTTACTGTTTTTTTGTGTTTTGGGCAAAAACTAAAGAAAAGAGAGAGAAACTGTAAACAGAAAAAATTATCAGGAATACTAGATCAACAAAAAAAAAGAAGAAAATTTTTGTCCGGAATTCTATTCTAGTCCACAATGTTGGAGAAGGTCCATTGTTGAAGATGCTCATAGACCTAGGTGAGCGACACAGGCTACTTTAGAGCCTCTACTTATATGTCCATTTATGGGAAGTATTATGGTATACCTCTGTCCGTCCATCCGGCGTCAACAATTTGGACAATAACTCTAAAACTCTTTCACCAATTTTCATGAAATTTTGATGAATTGTTTATATCTATTGACGTAAGCTCCCTTTCGCTATTTATGAATTTTAGATTTTCCTTTGAGTTATGGGATTTTATTCTTAAAAAAACTGGTTTTTTTTCAGATTTCTGACTATGACTCAAACATGTATTGAACAATTTTCTAGAAACAAGTAACATTGTCGAAATCGTCAGTCGACTCCTTATTAGAGTTATTGCCCTTTGATGACAATCTTTACCAATTTTTTGCGTTTTTGCCTTTTATCTTAAAAACTTATAATAGATAGATAGAAACTTGAATAAGCAAAAATGATTAGCAAGACAAGATCTACAATGAAGAAAATTGGAGTTATTGCCCTTTGATAACGATTTTTACCATTTTTTTGGCGTTTTGCCTTACATGATAAAAATTCTAATAGATAAATAGACACTTTAAATCACAAAAATTATCAGCAAAGCAAGATCTACTAACAAGTCAAATTTTGCCGATATAGTTAGTAGACTGTCACTCTTAATAGGAGTGATTGCCCTTAAATGAGGATTTGTTTTTACCCTCTTTTATGTTTTGAGCAAAAACTAAAGAAGATAGAGAGAAACTAAACAGACTAAATGACCAGCAATACTAGATCAACAAAACAGATTTTTGTCATGAATTCTATTCTCGTCTACAATGTTGGAGAGTGTGCTTTGTTGAATATGCACATATTGTTTTTGTTTTTGTTTTTTTTTTGGGGAGGGGGGGGTCTAGTTTAGCAGTGCTCACAGTATTTCTAGTTGATCGAATAACTTCATTTGAAGCAGATAGATGAGCTGAAAGGGTGACCAGCGTATCATGCGCTCATGGCATAGCTCTTTATTAACATAGTTCAGAAGAAAAAATAAAAGACATTTTCTCTAGCAGAAGCAAACTTATCAGATCATAAAAGGGATGTGGGATAATTACTCTAAAAGCAAGCCATAATCAAATATCCTCTCATTAATATAATCCAAGTTAATAAGTTGTCCAACAGCTGAGATTTACCTGTTGACCTCACATGTAAGTTTTTTGTACTGGACATTGATCACATTTCACTGATTTGTATTTATTTCAGTAAAAAAAAAAAAATTTATAAAAGATATATTTCAAATGGTCAAATGATAACATTGGAAAGGTTTTTGAGAAATGACAAACAATATTCTTTACACAAGTACAAGTGTACATGTAGTCAGACGTGAAATTTGATTACACCTCAAATTTTCAAAATGATAAAAATATTATTCATACTTTTTATCTTATGTTCATCTTAAGTATATACTTGTGAAATAACGTGGGAAGAAAGTGTGAATGAAAGTTTGTTGATGTTGCACACTTCAAATGATACACTGTCCATTATCAGAACTGTCAATTTGCAAGTTAATATCATTTCACAGAATCTATCATGTCTATATCCAAGAACAAAGTTATTGATTTCATGTCAGTAAATAATTATTAGCGTGATTGCCTTTTAATTGTTACAAAGATAAAAGAAAAACAAAAACAAAAAACATTAAAAATAAAATTGAAAAATGTCTTGTTTGGCTCAAATTTTTTTTGCAAGCTTACTTCTAAACTCTCAATGGCTAAAATGCAAAAAGATACATAACTGTATATTAATAGCCATATTTTAGCAGATATTTAGAACAGTGTTGTAGGTTACTAACCTATACAATTTTCTTATGTCCTTTCTCTGAACCAAAAAAGAGAAATGAAAATGTATGTTTCAATGGTAACATGGTTTTAATAATGATATTTAATTTGTTGTTTTTAGGATTGACATATTATGAAGACTTCAAATTATGTTAAAACTATAGCACTCATGATCTTTATTAACAAATCATCATCAATAACTGAACTAAAAAAAGTGAGATTTTCCTATAAAAACTCCTTGAAAAGACCTGGGTTTCAAAAGAAAAAATAAGGAAACCCTGCAATGGAATGAGATCTTATTAATGAACATCGAAATGAAATCTATTTTTCTATTTCAGAATGCCATTAAGCATTATGAAAACAAAGATTACCAAGAATTTACAGACTTTAGAATTAGAGCAAGTAGTTACAAGGAAAAATAACTATCAGGATATAATCAATATGATTGCTCAGGTATGTATACCTATATACATGGTAATTGGCTTATACCCTTGCATCTTTTATTCATTAGAAGAAGAGAAGTGAACATATAAAAAACAAACCTGTTTTTAAACTCCAAGAGACATTTCGGTTATAGCCTCTGTCAGTCTGAACTTTTAGAATGATATCTTCAAAAATCGTATACAATCTGTATTGATGTATTATTTGCACAACCTTTTTCACCATGGGAATTCAGGACCTAAACTTTTTTTTCACTTTGTTAAGTTTCAAGTTGTATATATAAAAATTAGGAGATGAGGTATGATTGCCAATGAGACAACTATCGACCAAAGTTCAAATAAAGTGGTTGTTTACTGTATTTACTTGGAAAATTCTGCTTACCTGTGTCAGAAATAAATTTGAAAAAAATAAATAAATGATTCTAGACCACATCCGGAGTGCGTAGAAATCTATATTTATAGATATTGCATTAAAGTATTACTCTCCAAAGTAAAATAATGTTGTAGTTATGTAATCTTCTGTTTGATTTGTTCATCACATATTTGAAAGACTTTAGGCTAAAACAAAACATTGACAGCTGTCTAAAACGCCAAATCCAAACAAATAATCAGTTAGGTTCATTACTTTACATATTGTACGGCAGACTTCCTTGACCTATAATGGTTTACTTTTATTAATTGTAACTTGGATGGAGAGTTGTCTCATTGGCACTCATACCACATCTTCCTATGTTTATTCAGATGCTATGACAAGAAAAAAGACATTTGTACTGACACAGTTCATTTTATAGATATCCTAAAATACTTGAATTTTATCTTGCCTGCAACAAAAGTTGCAGATATAGGGATTACATTCCCACAACAGTGGTCATGTAAACTATTTGTATAAAGCTTTATATTTTAGAGGGTAAAAGACCATGATGCTTCATGTTGCGAAGTTGCTGTCTGTTGTATGTCCATTGTCCTAAACTTCCATTTTCATGGTTCAGCATCTGCTTGACAAAAAATGGATAGTTTTTTTTGTGAGGTGAATTTCTAATGTTTGAGTTATATGGTAACTATAAAATTGAGAATGGAAATGGGGAATGTGTCAAAGAGACAACAACCCGACCATAGAACAGACAACAGCAGAAGGTCACCAACAGGTCTTCAATGCAGCGAGAAATTCCCGCACCCAGAGGCGTCCTTCAGCTGGCCCCTTAACAAATATATATACTAGTTCAGTGATAATGAACGCCATACTAATCTCCAAATTGTACACAAGAAACTATAATTAAAAATAATACAAGACTAACTAAGGCTAGAGGCTCCTGACTTGGGACAGGCGCAAAAATGCGGCGGGGTTAAACATGTTTATGAGATCTCAACCCTCCCCCTATACCTCTAGCCAATGTAGAAAAGTAAACGTATAACAATACGCACATTAAAATTCAGTTCAAGAGAAGTCCGAGTCTGATGTCAGAAGATGTAACCAAAGAAAATTAAACAAAATGACAATAATACATAAATAACAACAGACTACTAGCAGTTAACTGACATGCCAGCTCCAGACTTCAATTAAACTGATTGAAAGATTATGTCTTCATCATATGAATATCAGGCACAATCCTGTTACCTATAGTTGGTATGTGGGTTCCTTGCAACGTATGGAATGATTGTAAGGTCTGTCTGTCTGGTTTGTATCATCTTACCTTGACCTCATTTTCATGGAGCATTGGTAAATGTTTTGATCTCCTGGTTTGGTCTGTTTCTTTGATACTAAAAGCAAAAGGTCAACTATATTTGGTGTATGGAATGATTGTAAGGTGTACATGTCTGTCTGGCAGGGTTTATATGATCTTGATGTTATGTCATGGATCATTGATAATGTTAAGTTTATGTGATACTTGTAGTAAAACCTTCATCTTTGAGACTTTCAACATTAAACCAATTATAGTCAGTAAAGCAGTTGAGACAATTTATCATGTGCACTCTTGTTTAATAAAACTTCATAATGATTTCAATTAGACAAATAGTTAAAAAGATTCAAGGATTTGAAAAGAAATAGAGTGCCCTCTACTTTATGTCAAAAGACAAACATGGTGAAGAACTTAAATAACATCATGTAATTGACATTTTTTCATATTTTTGCTTGAAGTACAGTATAACCTGCATTCCTGCCTGCCTGGCAATTTGAAATTTAGAGTAAAAACCTGTGAATTATACATGCTGAAATTCTGTAACTTTTAATTCCATCTCTATTTTGGCCTTATAACTTGGCAACATTATTATCAAACAGTGCCGGTCGACAAGTTCAATTTTCATTGATTCAGCAAGTTACCATTGAACTGTTCAAAATGTACACACTTGAAATCTGTACATTTTTATCAAACATATTAGAATTTTCTTAAGTTTAGAAGATGTCTTTCAAATGCTTTTTTCATATAAAAATTTAAAAATAATTTTTAATAGTAACTAGTATCATTTCTCCATTTTCGTCTAGCCTAGTCTAGGCTACTAGCAACCAATATGACAAGAGTATGAGTTGGCTCAGCAATGGAGTGAACTATTTGCATAAAACATTATATTTCAGAATTTAGAAGAGTTACCTTGTATTTTGTATACAGATTAATATTGTATGTCAATAAAAATATTCCTGCATGCTGTTTTTATGCCCCACCTATGTTTTTCAGTCTGTGCGTTCGTTCGTCCGTCCGTCCGTCTGTCTGTCCCGCTTCATGTTAAAGTTTTTGGTCCAGGTAGTTTCTGATGAAGTTGAAGTCCAATCAACTTGAAACTTAGTACACATGTTCCCTATGTTATGATCTTTCTAATTTTAATGCCAAATTAGAGTTTTTACCCCAATTTCAAGGTCCACTAAACATAGAAAATGATAGTGCGAGTGGGGCACCTGTGTACTATGGATAGATTCTTGTTTTTTATATCAATTTTTACATAGCTAAACTGTTAGAAAAGAAAAAAACATCACATGTTTTGAATTATTTTTTATTAAAATTAATAACAAATTAATAGCAAATTAGTTATATGAAACTCCTGAATCATCTGACTTTACACATAATTCACCACCTGATCAAAATAAAAGAAATAATTCTAAGAGTTTAACAGTTTGATCTTGCACTACTTGCCATAGTCTTGCTGTAGCAGTTGAATAAAGTAGTTTACTAATTTGCTCAGTTTTGTTGAATATTACTAAATGCAATTTGGTTAAACTATTATCAGATTGGCTACACTTACAGTCAATTCATTGTAAATATTGTTTATATTTTTATACGACCGCAAAATTTTTTTGCGGTCGTATATTGGTATGACGTTGGCGTCGTCGTACGAAGACACATTGGTTTTCGCACTCTAACTTTAGTTTAAGTGAATGGATCTCTATGAAATTTTACCATAAGGTTCAATACCACAAAAGGAAGGTTGGGATAAGCATTTTTGTAACTTCCAGACATAACTTGTGTGTTAGTGTATGGATCTCTCTGACATTGTACCACAAGGTTCCATATCACACAGGGAATGCTGGGATTGATTTTGGGGGTAATTGCCTCAAAATGTTAGGAATTAGGGGCCAAAAAAGGGACAAAAAACAAGCATTTTTCTAGTTTCATGACAATAACTTGTGTGTAAGTGTATGGATCTTTCTGAAATTGTACTACAAGGTTCCATATCACAAAGGGAAAGCTGGAATTGAGTTTGGGGGTAATTACACAAAACAATTAGGAAAAAGGGGCCAAAAATAAGCATTTTTCTAGTTTCCAGACAATAACTTGTGTTCAAGTGTATGGATCTCTCTGAAATTGTACTGCAAGGTACCATACCACAAAGGGAATGCTGGGATTGATTTTGGGGGTAATTGCCTCAAAATGTTAGGAATTAGGGGCCAAAAAAGGGGCAAAAAACAAGCATTTTTCTAGTTTCATGACAATTACTTGTGTGTAAGTTTATGGATCTTTATGAAATTGTACTACAAGGTTCCATATCACAAAGGAAAAGCTGGGTTTGAGTTTTGGGGTAATTGCCCTAAACGTTTAGGAATTTGGGGCCAAAAAGGGGCCAAAAAACAAGCATTTTTCTAGTTTCCAGACAATAACTTGTGTTTAAGTGTATGTATCTCTCTGAAATTGTACTGCAGGTACCATACCACAAAGGGAAGGCTGGGATTGAGTTTGGGGGTGATGAATCATAAGGGGGTTAAAAAAATTGGGGAGGGGGATTTTTTTTTCTTTAAAATTTTCCATATTAAATTGGTTATTTCTGGTTTATATATAAAAGCAAATAATAATGATATGGTTTGAATAGGTAAATTAAAAATTTTTAAGTTCTTAGACCACATTCATTCTGTGTCAGAAACCTGTGCTATGTCAAATATTTGATCACAATCCAAATTCAGTGCTGTATCAAGCTTGAATGTTGTGTCCATACTTGCCCCAACTGTTCAGGGTTCGACCTCTGCGGTCGTATCAAGCTGTGCCCAGTGGAGCATTTTATTAATATCTAGCATTCTCTTGAAAATCGTCTTTCTGTTTCAGGATATAAGGAATCAAAGGAGATATAGGAACCAACGTAAACAAGAACTTATGAAGATCAAACAAACCTTAAAAGGTTTACAAGAAAAGAGGAAATTTTATGAATCACAGATAGACTATTACAACAGATATGTCAAGACCTGTATAGATAATTTACAAAAAAAAAGCAAGTAAGTATTGAAAAAGTCTATTTAAAAGTGTTGCATAGCTGGTGACTTTGCCTACTCAGGATACTGGTATTTTTCATTTTGCAGTTTAATGTTGTGTTAAATAGCTTTCAAATTTTCACAAGAAGTAAGATTTTTATGGCTGGTAAAATTGATAAGGAACTTGTAAAATATTACAATGAAGAAAATGGGGCTCAATTGGAGTATATGCATATGTACTTCCGGTTTATTAATATTTGTGTATACGCTAATAAAATTAATACGCATTATTTTTTTCTTATGTTTATATTTAAATTACAATTTGAATATTTTATTACTTTTTATATCTTAATAAGTGGACAGGTTGACTGGTTGACATTTCAGCTATTTAAAATTGCAAATTAAAGTTGACTGGTCGACAGGTTGACAATTTGATAAGATGAAAATACAACTAAAGATGACAAGTTGACAGGTCGAATGGACCTGTGGAACGGTCAACTTGTCAACGTAAGTTGTATATTCATCTTATCAAATTGTCAACTTTTTAAAGGAACTAATATATGAAAATAATAAAAAGACAAGAAGTTAATTTTGGGAAAATATCTTTTTAAGTTAAGCCTTTGATCATATTTATTTTGTCGAAAAGCTATGTGTAAATTTGCCATTTTTTGTCAAATATGTCAGTACATGGTTATGACCTTGTACATTTAGTGACATCGCAAGTGACATTCCACACTTAAGTGTCTAGATTATATTCTTTTCATTTATCAGTGAAATTATCATAATTTTGAAAGTGTTGAAGAATTTAACTACTTTTTGGTTCAAAATTTGAAATTGCTATCACTTGATAACAGTCGTCTGTTGTCTGTCATCTTCATCTGTCAAGATGTGGTATGAGTGCCAATGAGACAACTCTCCATCCAAGTCAAAATTTATAAAAGTAAACCATTATAGGTCAAAGTACGGTCTTCAACAGGGAGCCTTGGCTCACACTGAACAGCAAGCTATAAAGGGCCCCAAAAATTACTAATGTAAAACCATTCAAACGGGAAAACCTTCTCCTCTGAAACTGCTGGACCAAATAAAACCAAAAATGGCCACAATCATCCTTTATGGGATCTAGATTAAAATTTTGTCCGGTGATCAACATGGCCACCAAGAGTAAAAATATAACATAGGGGTAAAATGCAGGTCTTGGAAACTGTTAAAGATGAAGACAATATTTGACTTGGGGCAGAAATATTAAGAAGATGAGATCTAACTACTGTTGATTTGAACCAAAACTGGCAGACAACTCCTTATATGAGTTACTGCCCTTCAATTATGATTTCAATTTTGCCTATTGCCCTGAAAACTATAATAGAAATAGAAAAAACTTTAAATGGCAAGACAAGATCTTTTTATGCACCCGCAGTAGGCAATGGGGGCATTAGGTATTACCCTTGACCATCTGTCCTTCCAATTTTCATTTCTGCACTGTGAGTTTTCTTCTTTTCCAACTTTTATGAAACTCATACACAATGCTGTGATTGAAAATGGTCAGACAGGGTTCGAATCTGAGCAGCAAGTCACTTACTGCTCAAGAGTTATGCCCTTGTTTAAATTGGAAAATTGCAAATCTTGAGCGGTGGCATTCATGTCTTTGGACACATTCTTCTTTTATTTTAAGCAAACATAGCAGAAATCTTCAGTCATCTCTGTATAGGAGTTATTGCACTAAGATTAGGAGTTTTACCCTTTTTAAGCATTTTGGGCAAAAACTAGAGTAGCAAAAGAGAAACTTCAAACAGCAAAAATAATCAACAAGACCAGATCTACAAATAAGTCAAATTGCTAAAAGTGTCAGTTCACTCCTTTTAGGAGTTATTGACATTAAATGATGATGATTGTTTACCAATTTTTTAATTTTTGGCACAAACTAGTAGAGAAAAACGGTAAACAACAAAAATAATCAACAAAATAGAGAATTTTAGTCATGAATATATATTCTAGTCTATAATGTTGGAGAGTGGCCATTTTGAAGATGCACAAAGATTAAGGTGAGAGACATTAAAGAGCCCCTTGTCCAATTCCTGTGGCCAAATTGTCCTTTCTGTCATCTATTACTGAAAGCTTGTCTCTTTAAGATTGCTCATCTACCATTTTCATATTTACAGCAAATCTACAGAGAAAAATTTCATGAACATTTTTGTACTATCTTTATAATCCCACTCATATGGAACATTGATTATTAGTATATATTAAAAAGGAAAGTTTTTATATTTCAGTTACAGAAAGTCGAGAGGATTATTTAAACGTGGAGATGCTGATGATAAGGAACACCATGAGAAGTTAAAATATAGCGGTGCTAAATTGTATGAGAAGGGAATAGTCCTTGAGATAGAAGGTCTCCCTACAAATCAGTAAGTATTTGAGATGGTCTGCCTTCAATGAAAACATTAAGTACATATTGTACATGGTTAAATTTCCAGAAATGAGATTAGATGTTCTTGCTACAAAAAGGTAATTCTGGAAAAAGAAGGTCTTTGTACCTTTGTCTTTGAAACAAAACTATTGTTTTACATTTGTCATTTCAGGGCCTTTTATAGGTGACTATGCGGAATGGGTTTTACTCATTGTTGAAGGCCGTACGGTGACCTATAGTTGCTAATTTCTGTGTCATTTGGTCTCTTGTGGAAAGTTGTCTCATTGGAAATCATATCAGAAGAATCTATTTTGCATATACATGTACAGTGTAATTTAACATTTTCAATTCTAGTAAGTTTTATCTATTTTGTAAGCCTAAAACTCCCTGCTTATTATCAAACTAGATTTTTAGCTCACCTGGCCCCTTTGGGCCAGGTGAGCTTTTCTCATCACTTGGGGTCTGTCATCAACTTTTACAAAAATCTTCTCCTCTGAAACTACTGGGCCAAATTTAAACAAGCTTGGCCACAATCATCATTGGGGTATCTAGTTTAAAAAATGTGTCTGATGACCCCTCCTGCCAACTAAGATGGCCGACATGGCTTAAAAAAGAACATAGGGGTAAAATGCAAGTTTTGTCTATTATTTTGGAAATCGTTATAAAAAGAGAAAATTTAACACGATCAGAAATGTTCAGAATGTTGTGCTCTACCATTGTTCGTATACGTCAAAACTGTCACATGACTTCTTATAAGAGTAATTGCCCTTAAATGACGTATTTTACCATTTTTATTTTCATTTTTATACGACCGCAAAAATTAAAAATTTTTTGGTTGTATATTGGTATGACGTTGGCGTTGGCGTCGTCGTCGTCGTCATCGTCATCTGGCGTCGTCCGAAGACACATTGGTTTTCGCACTCTAACTTTAGTTTAAGTGAATGGATCTCCATGAAATTTTACCATAAGGTTCAATACCACGAAAGGAAGGTTGGGATTGATTTTGGGGGTTATGGTACCAACAGTTAAGGAAAAAGGGGCCAAAAATAAGCATTTTTGTAACTTCCAGACAATAACTTGTGTGTAAGTGTATGGATCTCTCTGACATTGTACCACAAGGTTCCTTATCACAAAGGGAAGGCTGTAATTGATTTTGGGGGTAATTGCCTCAAAAGTTTAGGAATTAGGGGCCAAAAAAGGGGCAAAAAAACAAGCATTTTTCTAGTTTCATGACAATAACTTGTGTGTAAGTGTTTGGATATTTCTGAAATTGTACTACAAGGTTCCATATCACAAAGGGAAAGCTGGAATTGAGTTTGGGGGTAATTGCCCTAAACGTTTAGGAATTGGGGGCCAAAAAGGGGCCAAAAATAAGCATTTTTCTAGTTTCCAGACAATAACTTGTGTTCAAGTGTATGGATCTCTCTGAAATTGTACTGCAAGGTACCATACCACAAAGGGAAGGCTGGGATTGAGTTTGGGGGTGATGAATCATAAGGGGTTTCAAAAAATTTGGGGGGGGAGGATTTTTTTTTTTTCTTTTTTTTTTCTTCTTTTCCTTTTTTTTTTTCTTTTAAAATTTTCCATTTTAAGTTGGTTATTTCTGATTAATATTTAAAAGCAAATAATAATGATATGGTAGGAGATACACACCAAACAGGATGTGTAAATTATTATATAATAAGTATTGTGCAATAGCAAGAAATTTTCAATTGCACAGTATTGCACAATAGCAAGAAATCTTCAATTGCACAGTATTGCGCAATAACAAGAAATCTTCAATTGCACAGTATTGCGCAATAGCAAGAAATATCCAATAGCACAATATTGCGCAATAGCAAGAAATTGTCAATTGTACAGTATTGCGCAATAGCAAGAAATATTCAATTGCACAGTATTGTGCAAAAGAAGATACTTCGTATAAATTGCATTTTTCTTGATCAATTTCAATGGGGTTTTATTCTTGAATTCTTGGGGTTCTTTAATATGCTGAATCTAATCGTGTATTAAGTTTTTGGATTTTGGGCCCCGTTTTTAAATTGGTCCACATTGAGGTCCAAAGGGTCCAAAATTTAACTTTGTTTCATTTCATCAAAAATTGAATTATTGGGGTTCTTTGATATGCCGAATCTAACCGTGTATTTAGATTCTTAATTTTTGGTTCCGTTTTCAAATTGGTCTACATTAAGGTCCAAAGGGCCCAAAATTAAACTTAGTTTGATTTTAACAAAAATTTAATTTTTAGGGTTCTTTGATATGTTGATTCTTAACATGTATTTAGATTTTTGATTATGGGCCCAGTTTTCAAGTTGGTCCAAATCGGGGTCCAAAATTAAACTTTGTTTGATTTCAACAAAAATTGAATATATGGGGTTCTTTGATATGCTGAATCTAACCATGCATTTAGATTTTTGATTTTTGGTCCCCGTTATCAACTTTGTCCACATTGAGGTCATAATGGTCCAAAATTAATCTTTGTTTGATTTCATCAAAAAGTGAATTCTTGGGGTTCTTTGATATGCTGAATCTAACCATGTATTTAGATTTTGGATATTGGACCATAATAGGTGAATGTCCAATTTAAAATTTTTAAGTTCTTAGACCACATTCATTCTGTGTCAGAAACCTATGCTGTGTCAAATATTTAATCACAATCCAAATTCAGAGCTGTATCAAGCTTGAATATTGTGTCCATACTTGCCCCAACTGTTCAGGGTTCGACCTCTGCGGTCGTATCAAGCTGCGCCCTGTGGAGCATTTTATTGCCTATTATCTTGAAAAGTATAATAGATAGAACATAAATTGCAAAAATGATCAGCAAGACAAGTTCTACAAATAAGTTTACATGGTTGAAATCATCCATATTGCCTTTTGATGATGATTTTTACCAATTTTTTGCATTTTTGCCTTATATCTTAAAAAAAAATATAATAGATAGATAGAAACTTAAATAAGCAAAAATGATCAGCAAGACAAGATCTACTAACAAGTCAAATTTTGCCAATATAGGTAGTAGATTGTCACTCTATAGGAGTGATTGCCCTTAAATGAGGATTTTTTTTTTACCCTCTTTTGTGCTTTGAGCAAAAACTAAAGAAGATACAGGGACACTAAACAGACCAAATGATCAGCAATACAAGATCAACAAAACAGAGATTTTTGTCATGAATTCTATTCTCGTCTACAATGTTGGAGAGTGTCCTTTGTTGAATATGCACATTAACCAAGGTGAGCGGCACAGGCTCAAAGAGCCTCTAGTTTGGGAAACCAATGACATCAGCACAAACATAGATGACACCAATGCACAAGTAAAAACTGTTGCTTAAAAATTTTGAAAGTTTGTGCTTCTTTTGAGTTTAAACTTTATATTCAGTTTTTAACTTAAATGCTGTTTCATACTTAATGTTCACTTTTTGAGGTATTTGGGACAAAGTTATCATATAATCAAGTGAATCCTGTTGATAGGATTACTTATAAATACAGTCGAACCTCGTTGTGTCGAACTCGGTTGTATTGAAAACTCAGATGAGTTGAAGTAATTACTCGGTCCAGGTAAAATTCACATTTGATCAATGCATAATTACCTCTGATGAGTCGAACTGGATTGATTCAAATCTTCAGATAAGTCGAGTAAATTTTATAGTCCCGTCAATGTAAAACTAATGTAATTGACCCCGATGTCTTGAAGTTCGAACATGTAAAAAAAATTTAAAGAAGCAGACCTAATGATAAAAATTCAAATCGGGTGTTCTTCCTATGTAACCTAATCATTTTCAAAAGAGATTAAAGCTGAGTAAACATACTTGTTTTTATACGACCGCAAAAGTGGTCATATATTGGTATCACCTAGTCGTTGTCGTCTTCGTCTTCAGAAGACATTTGGTTTCCGGACAATAACTTAAGTAAATGTAAATAGAAATCTATGAAGTTTAAACACAAGGTTTACAAAAGGAAAGTTGGGATTGATTTTGGGGGTTATAGTCCTAACAGTTTAGGAATTAGGGGCCCAAATAAGCATTTTTCTAGTTTCCAGACAATAACTTGTGGAACGGTGTATGGATCTCTTTGAAATTATACCACAAGTTTCCATACCACAAAGGGATGGTTAGGATTGGCTTTGGGGGGTTATGATTCAAACCGTTTAGGAAAAAGGGGCAAAAAAGGGGGAAAAACAAGAGTTTCCTGGTTAATGGACAATTAAAAAAAAGTACAATGTTATGTTTGGATTACCTCCCTTACACTGCTTTTAAATTATATGCATGTTCAGGACGAGAACAAGTTAACAATAAATACAATAGGTAGGTCTTGTAATAAGAGGCCATCCAGGATGATGGTCGGGGAAATTTGTACTGCCACTGGAAAATGTTTATTTTTAGAAGTTACTATTTAAAAATGCTGATTAAGGATTATTAATTTTAGCAATGATTATGTATGTCATTTTTATTCTATTTTAAGACTTTTATGATGTATTTAAATGGGTTATTATGGTTGCAAACTCCTTTGAAAATTTGAATTGAGATTATGACTGACCATATCTTGAGGGAAAGAATTTTTTTTTTGGTAAAAGGGGGTGGGGACAATTTTTTCTCAATTCAGATTTCAGAAATTAAAAAGAAAATTTCTTCAAATATTTTTTTTTTGCAAAAAAAAAATTGTGGAGGGGGGGGGGGGGGGGGGGGGGTGGTCAATTCGCAACAGCATAATGTATTGCACAAAAGCAAAAAATTGAATATAATTCCAAATCATATAACCAATTCTAAATTCTTTGACTACAGTTATTCTGTGTCAGAAACCTATTATGTGTTAAATATTTAATTACAATCCCAAATTCAGACCTGTATCAAGCGCGAATATTGTGTCCATTTTTGCCCCAACTGTTCAGGGTTGGACCTCTGCGGTCGTATCCAGTTGCACTCGGCGAAACAATTTAATATAACAGTTAAAATGACATGTTTATGGTGATCGGTAATTTTAAAACACCTCCCTTTGTTGATTGTTCAAGTGGAATGTTGTGTTGAACATTGTTCACATGATTTAAAAACGAAACGAATTTAAATGACCCTAGCCAAGATTAAATGAATCGTTAGATTTAAAACTCATTAAATACAATACATGAAAGGATTAGGACAATTATTATAAATTCATGATCATTTAATGTACGCAGACGATCTCATCAGAGACTGTTTAGAACTTATTCTGTTTCGCAAGTGATTTTATAATTTATAGTGACTGACCTTAGTAAATATTTGTATAGAGTATTGATTTTATTATGCATGATTTGTATCTGTACTTGTGTGTTTAATTATTGTGAAGGACCAAAAATGGAGATTGAATATACAACCATAAGTGTAATACTGAAAAAAGTTTCACTGTTCATTGTATCTAGTTTACACAAATCTCATACCGTATTTCATGCATTCCAAATTTTTACGACAAACTCAATCTCGGATGAGTCGAATACTTTGGTCCGTTCCCTTCGACTTCCACACAACGAGGTTTGACTGTAACTAAAAGTTCAAAGAAGTTTTGATATAATTTTGTCATGCCTTGATAAAGTAGTAGAGGGACCTAGGCATGCTGTAATAAGCAGCGGTGGTGTCAACAATTTGTTCAAGTTTGTAATTAGGTGAAGTCCGTGATATTTGGGATGCAATTGTTTAATCTTTGGCAAGTCTTATTTCCATGGAGATTACATATTTCTGTGTTAACTGTTTATTTTTAGCTACCCTGACCCAAAGGGCGCCTGTTCTTGTTGGTTAAGTTTAAAAAAAAAAATACAAATGAGCAGTCATGGCGTAAATTGTCCGTCAACTCCTTTTAGGAGTTATTGGCCTTAAATGACAATTTTGACGAATTTTTGCATTTTAGTCTTTTATCTTGAAAACAATAATAGATAGATAAAAAATTGAACAGCAAAAATGATCAGCAAGACAAGATCTACAATTGAGTCAAATTGGCCGAAATTGTTCGAAACTCCTTGTAAGAGTTATTGCCCATTATTACATTGGTTGCAATGAATTACCATGATTTCCCAGTGAAATGAAAATAGATAATTTTTCATGTGAAATAAATTTGATAATTTCACATTGACCGCATATAACGATGAATTTGTGAATTAATGTGTCGTTTGGTCACAAGTTAAATATTTTTTCGAATCTTGAATTCTTGGATTAGGCCACCTTTAACAAATTCTTTGTTTGATGTTGCCTACCCTTTGTAGGGGTGGGTAGGTAGGTAGGTTTTTTATGCCCCTGCCATAGTGGAGGGGGCATTAAGTTTTACCCTTGTCCGTCTGTACATACGTCCGTACGTCCCAGAAACTTAAGTTTGCCTCAACTAAATGTTATGAAACGTATACACAATGCTTATTACCACAAAACGCAGATCAAGTACAAATTTGGGTAGTGCACTTTTACAATTCTTGAGTTATATCCCTTTATAGCATTATATGCAAGTGGGGGCATCATCTGTGTCCCATGGACACATTCCCCATTTTGTTTTTGTTGCCTATTATTTTGAATAGATATAAGAAGATGTGGTATGAGTGCCAATGAGACAACTCTCCATCCAAGTCACAATTTGTAAAAGTAAGCTATTATCGGTGAAAGTATGGCCTTCAACACAGAGCCTTGGCAAACTAAAGTAGAAAGAAACTTTAAAAGGTAAAAATGATCTGCAGGACAATTTCTACAAGTATGTCAACAAGGCCGTAATTGTCAGTCAACTCTTTTTAGGAGTTATTGCCTTTTAATGATGATTTTTACCTAATTTAGCATTTAGATATATAGATACTGAATAGAAAAATTAGCAATACAAGATCAACAAAAAAGAGATTTCAGTCATGAATTATATTCAGCACATTAGTAACTTATGCTACAACCAAGTCCCATGAACAAACTGAAAAAGTAGAATGGTCAACCAATTCTTTATGTGAAATTACAATAATATTTCTTGAAATGATGAGAATTTGACACAGTATAAGCCATTCTTGTCACAATGATGTTAAGTCCATTTTTCCAAAAAAAAATAAATAAAATAAAGATTTAAATATAATGTATAACAAGCCATTCTTGTCAAAAAATTATGTTTAGCCCTTTTTTCAAAATATTAAAAAAATGTGATTTTAAAAGTAAATGTGTTAAAAAGAATAATAACACTTAGAATAACAAAATTACACACTGAGAGTAAGACTCTTCATACACCCAAAAGAAAAAGATATTGTTGAATAGTGTTAATAATTCAAATTTAGCAAAATCTCTGGGCTAGCATAATGTCTATTGTACCAACAAAGATAGCAACATATATTTTTGATGCAACTGATATCATGGTTACTCAAGATACCAATAAATCTTAATTCCATATATTTGACCAGTCACATCAGATATAAAATCTCATAACTTAGCAACTACTTTAATGGTCACAGGTGGACTATTTGCAGATCAGTAAGTATTAGAGAAAGTTGGTCCTTATATGAATAAGTAATGTTATATATATATATATATATATATATATATATTATATATATATAAGTACTGAACTAATTGAGGAGATGAGCAATTTTTGCAGGCTCCTCTGAAAACTCATTGATTGTCTTTGAGAAGAAAGATCTTTCATGCATCAGTAATTACTTGAGGCAGAGTGACTCCTTACTAATCTGAAGGTACTTAAATGGTCTTGGAGATGATGTATCTGAAAATCAGTGGTTAGTGACAGTCCAACATGGTTTTTCCATAAATCATTATTGTTAGTAATAGTGAAACAAGCTTTGATGTATATATATGGTCTTCCTACCAGTAATTTTTATACCGCGAAAAATGTGCGTTCGTATATTGCTATCATGTCGTCGTCGTCCGAAGACATTTGGTTTCCGGACAATAACTTTAGTATAAGTGAATGGATCTCTATGAAATTTAATCACAAGGTTCAATAGAACAAAAGGAAGGTTAGGATTTATTTTGGGGGTAAGGTCCCAACTGTTTAGGAATTAGGGGTCAAAAAGGGACCAAAAAAGGCATTTTTCTAGTTTCAGGACAATAACTTGTGTATAAGTGTATGGATCTCTATGAAATTGTACCACAAGATTCCATACCACAAAGGAAAGGTTGGGATTGACTTTGGGGGTTATGGCTCAAACCATTCAGGAATTAGGGGCAAAAAAAAGGGGGGGGGGGGAGAAACAAGGTTTTTTTTCTGGTTAATGGACAATTTCTTAAGTATAAGTGTATGGATCTCTATGAAATTGAAACACAATGTTCCATACCACAAAGGAAAGGTTGGGTTTGACTTTGGGGGTTATGGCTCAAACTGTTCAGGAACAAGGGGCAAAAAGGGAGGGGAGAGGAACAAGATTTTTCTGGTTTCTGGACAAATACTAAAGTATTATTCTATGGATCTCTATGAAATTGTACCACAAGGTTCCCTACCACACACATAAGGTTGTGGTCAATTTTGTGGTTTGTGGCTTTAATTGTTAAGAAACTAGAGGCCATAGGGACCAAAAACAAGACTTTTCTAATACTGGCTAAGCTGGTTCTAACATAAATTATTTCTGATCTATATAAAGAAACAACAAATTCTGATATGGCAGGAGATACACACCAAACAGGGTGTGTAAATTATTATATTTAGTTTGTAAACAGAATTAATAAGTATTGCGCAACAGCAAAGTTTGCACAACAGCAAGATATCTTCAATTGAAAATAAATACAAATCTTTTAACCAATTTCAATGAGGATTAATATAAAGTCTTGAATTTTTTGAGGTGTTTACCATGCATTACTATATTGGATATTTGGACATTTTTAAATATGTCTACATTGAGGTCCAAAGGGTCCAAAATTAGACTTTGTTCAATTTCATCAAAAACTGAAATCTGGTGGTTCTATGATATGCTGAATCTAACTGTGCATTCAGATTTTTCATTTTGGGCCCTGTTTTCAAATTGGTCCAAAGGGTCCAAAATTAAACTTTGTTTGAAATTCATGGGTTTTTTTATATGCTGAATCTAACCATGGAATTAGATTTTGGATATTGGACCATGAAGTAGATTAAATGTCCCATTTCAAATTTTTAAATTATCTGAACACATTTATTCTGTTTCAGAAATCTATAATGTGTCAAATATTTAATCACGATCCAAATTCAGAGCTGTATCAAGCTTGAATATTGTGTCCATACTTGCCCCAACTGTTCAGAGTTCGACCTCTGCGGTCGTATCCAGCTGCTGCAGACGGAGCACATTTTTAAAGAACTGCAGATATAATGCCCTTACAAAAATCAAGTACCCTGTAGATTCAAAATAAGGTAAAAGTAGGGTATTTTTAAGGAGAATTGTTTTCATTCATGAGAATAATGACCTCTTTCAGAGCAAATTTCAAAGTTATAAAATATTGCACTAGATCTGTATTCTTAACATCTTACTTTTTTCAGATTTAAAAATGTTCAGTTTGAAATTAGTGGTACTAAGGATCCTGGAGTGTTTGATGTTAATGCTAAATTCATGGGAGTAGAAATGGATAAAGTGGAATTAATTTTTCAGGTAATATTTATTGAACATGTGATGACACTTGCATCAATAATAACTGGCAGGTTCATGCTTCCTGAAATTGGCATTCCTTTCCCTTAATTTTTTTGGATTGCATTTCTGCAAATCTAAGGCCTTCTTTCCACAACTATTTTCAATAGTATTTTATAACAATTTTTTGCTTCATCTGTAAGCCAGTTAACAGTGTGTTGTACATAACTTTAAGAAAAAAACAATCAGTTCAATTGCTGATTAAGAAACAGTATTCATTTACATGTACTACGTAAAAAGGATCATAAAATTCTGGGCACCATTCCTGGAAACACTTAAACGACAAAATTATCCCAAATTTCAAAGGACTTTGTCATGCACACATATGTAGAAGAAGACAACATGCAAATGTAACATTGACATGTAGTTGTTTACGTCATTGCCCCTTGACCTTTGTTAGATAGTTGTCTCATTGGCAATTTGACTATCTCATTGGCAACTAATTCACATCTCCTTATTTTTGTATTGTCTAAATTTGTTTAAGAATCAGGTAACCAGTTAAATGTATTGAGCCATAAATCAAATCTTTACCTATCGATCGTTGGTGGATAAAGCATTCTTAGAGTTAAAAAGACCCTTATTGATTTTTAGGTTACTAGTTTAAAAATCAAGGTTTCAGCTGGTTTTCTGAAATTTGGGAACATTTTCGGTTTTCATCATTTGGCATAATTTGTAAGCAGATGTAAGTGTTTTCATCTTACCCAACTCTAAAACGTTTTCTTTTACTGAAAGTCCATGATAATCACAACTAATCTCATGCAAACATGGTGTTTCTTTAATTTTAGTGATAGGATCAGTTTCTAAGTTACTATAATTGGTGGTTAGAATTATTGTAGGGTTTAGATATCAGCCTTACAGGATTCACCTGACCGTAACTGAATTTTCTTGGTTCATTGATCAACATCAGTTTTCTTGATTAGACCTGTTTCTCATGTTATGCTCAATTAAGCAGGCAAGACATTTCAGGATGTGAAATCCTGTTTGTAATAAAACTAAATATTAAACAAGGTATCCATTATAAATTCAATAAAATCCTAAAAAACACAATAACACCCAAGGTAGATGATATTAACATAATCATATGTAAAATACAACTCACACTAAAAAATGTTAGTAAACAAATCTTTGCCATGACAGAATCAGTTAGTATTAACCGCAAACTAAAACATGAAATTAATATTTGTCCTCTAGAAGCAATTGTCGGTCATTACCAATAAGACACTATTCATGAAATTCACTTTCAATTTCTGAACTCAGGAAACAGTGATCGCAACCTGGTGCAAGCTATAATGAAGTGCAAATATAAGGAGATGCATGTTTGGGCCAATGACAAGGTGACATTTGGCTTAAATTTTAAGGTCTACATTTGGGCTATATTATGTTTTATATGTAATAAATGACATTCTATTTATGACATGTTCTTGTTATATGTACCCCTTTCGTTTGCCAGACAGTGTTTGTCTCCTGCTCACTATGGGATGGTGGAAGTGGGATTTAAAGTAAGAAACGGTTTTATATAAGCCCTAAATAATGTTTAAATGCTATGTACAATGTGCAGGTGTAATACACTCGATTAAGATTTTAAAAGAAAATGCAACTAATTGCTCTCCAAGATTGGTTCATGCTGAGTATATACAAATTCATCTTGTCTGACCTCAATTCAAACTAGCATGGTTTTCAGATGACCAGATTTTTTGTAGGTTGTATCTTGATAATGACTTCTTTTAAAATTATAAATTAAAAATTAGCCCAAAGGTAAACTTCACCAAATTTTTGACCCAAATGAAACCACAGTCAGAATGATTTAGCCCAAATTAGTTATGCCCAAAACATGATAGGACAATGTCAGTAGCACTTTTCATGCATCATTGATTTCTTAAACAAGTTTCTTATTAGTCAGTCCCCTACCGACGAAGTCGAAGGGGACTTTAGGTTTGCACTCCATCTGTCTGTCTGTCCGTCCATCCGTCAATCCGTCGGTCCGTCAGTCTGGCAAATCTGTTTTCCGCACTTTTTTTCGTCATGCTTGAAGATATTGATAATTGGTATATAGTTTTGTCATGACAAGATACAGATCAAGTTTGAATTTCCGTTCTGATGATTTTGTGCAGAGCTATGGTCCTTCGACTTAGAAAATTCACTTAAATAATAAGTTTTCCGCACTTTTTTTTGTCATGCTTGAAGATATTGACTTGATATTTGTTATATAGTTTACACCATGACAAGTTATAGATCAAGTTAGCATATTGTTCCAGTACAATGAATTTTAACAGGTAGGGGACTATGTATTGCCATGCAATACTCTCATGCTTGTTTGCTTTATGTAAGTAATCAAATATCATTTACCTTACTTGACTGTGATGGAGCTTGTTATATTCTCATAGATTATTTGACTTTAAGCTAACAAACTGCCAAATGAATAGTTATAAAGGCATTTCACAGGATGCTTAGTCATCATTGTAGAATTTATAGTATTTATAAAAGATTTAATCCTTGCATTACACACTATCCATCAAGATGTTTTCTTGTTATTTTCATTGTATCCTAGTTGCTGGTGTCTCACAATTATAATTTCAATTAATACCATGTTACAAAAATCATATGGAATATATTTTATAATAGTATCACATTTTATAAGGACTCATTTTAATATATTCAAGTTAACAATGTTTTAAAAATCCCTAAATTTATGTATGATTATTAAAATGTTTCAGGATTTACTTCAGTTGCAATATGAAGGTGTTGCTGTAATAGAAATGTTCAACAGAGCAAAGATCAATGTTAACCTGCTGATTTTTCTTGTAAACAGAAAGTTTTATGGCAGACAAGGAAAGTAACCTGGTTGTAATTTATGTCTAACACCATGACAAGTAATTGCTATTCTCTAAACCTTTGTAGCTAGGAACAGTTAAACTGTAAACAGTTTTCATGTTTTATGGCAGTTAAACTTATGTGCTATGAACTTGATGACACAGTGATATCCTCACCAAGGTTTATATCAGTGCATATATTCACTAGAAGTTATCATTCATTATTTTACAACAAGAAAAAGGTTTTGCTTCCCATTTTATTGTAATGCTTTAGAAATTATATATAAATGCTATAAACTTAATATTGGATTCTGTTATAAAGATACATATATTTGATACATAACTATTGAAGTGTCCATGTGTATGGTATATTTTGCTCAATTGAACTTTTACTTTGGACTGCTGAAACACATTGCAGTTATTTATAGTTTTATGTTTTATATCATTTTGAGCAATTCATATTCTTTTAATTTTGTAAAGTTAATGTAACATATATATAAGATAGATAGAGTCTGGTAGATCTGACCGTCTAAAGCTTTTTGCTTAACATATTTAGTTCTTTGTCAAATAGTTAAATAAATAATAGTGCCATTTGCTTGATTGAAGACTAAATTCTATGAAAGTTGTATATTTTACAGCTCTTTTCATAATGCTAGCAAGACAAAGGTTTGTTTGGCTTGCTTGCTTTGTTTGTATCAATGTTTGCTCAAGCATTGTAATTAAGATTGACATCTGCAAACAATATAAGTAGGCGGAGTTAAATCTGTGTAAAGGTAAATTTGATTATTTGATAATGTCCAATCAAATTTAAATATTATGTATACAAGTTTAAATCCTCCTTTTTATGTTGTTTTCAGATGTCAATCTTAATTACAATGCTTGAGCAAACATTGATACAAACAAAGCAAGCAAGCCAAACAAACCTTTGCCTTGCTTGCATTATGAAAAGAGCTGTAATGAAAAACAACCTAAAACAATTTAAAATTAGTCAGTGTGTGGGCTAGTCATGATTTACATTGGAAACAACCATAGCCAGTAAATCTGCCAGCATAGATATTGCTTTTGAAAAACAATTTCTTTTTGGATATTTCAAGAGATGAACTTTCATTTACAACATGCAATCCTTGACAGTGGTAAAATAATGCATTGAAAAACAAACGAAAAGCTTGTCATTTATTGTACATACCAGATACATATTTTCTGAAAATTGACATTATTTTACACTACGAAAGGTAATGGAATATAAGCAGAAGTATAAGAAGGATTGAATTAAAGGATGGGCAGATTAAACAGACTTGAGTGTGTCTAAAAATGCTTTCAGTCTGTATGTGCAATTTTGCAATTTATTTTTTCTTTTTATTGATATGAATTTGAAACATACATTTAAAGGTATGTGTGTATTATCTGTTTGCAGATAGATTTCTAGATAAAATAGCTTGAGCATTTTCCTTTTTTTTTTTGTCATTTTTCTTGCCTTTGTCTTCTTTTTCATTTATAAAGCTTATTGGAACAGAAGTGTAAAACCAGGAATCAAATAATTGAGGTAATAATATAAATTACCCCTCTCTCAACCATTATTCTAGTTTCCAGACAATAACTTTGTGTTCAAGTGTATGGATCTCTCTGAAATTGTACTGCAAGGTACCATACCACAAAGGGAAGGCTGGGATTGATTTTGGGGGTAATTGCCTCAAAAGTTTAGGAATTGGGGGCCAAAAAGCGGCAAAAAACAAGCATTTTTCTAGTTTCAGGACAATAACTTGTGTTCAAGTGTATGGATCTTTATGAAATTGTACTGCAAGGTTCCATATCACAAAGGGAAAGCTGGGTTTGAGTTTTGGGGTAATTGCCCTAAACGTTTAGGAATTTGGGGCCAAAAAGGGTAAAAAAAACAAGCATTTTTACAGTTTCCAGACAATAACTTGTGTTCAAGTGTATGGATCTCTCTGAAATTGTACTGCAAGGTACCATACCACAAAGGGAAGGCTGGGATTGAGTTTGGGGGTGATGAATCATAAGGGGGTTCCAAAAATTTGGGGGGGGGGGGGGGAGGGTTCCTTCTTTTCCGTTTTTTTTTCTTTAAAATTTTCCATTTTAAGTTGGTTATTTTTGATTAATATATAAAAACAAATAATAATGATATGGTTTGATTTCATCAAAAATTGAAATATTGGTGTTCTTTGATATGCTGAATCTTAACCGTGCATTTAGGTTCTTGATTTTTGGTCCCGTTTTCAAATTGGTCTACATTAAGGTCCAAAGGGTCCAAAATTAAACTTAGTTTGATTTTAACAAAAATTGAATTCTTGGGGTTTCTTGATATGCTGAATCTATCCATGTATGTATTTAGATTTTGGATATTGGACCATAATAGGTAAATTAAAAAATTTTAAGTTCTTAGACCACATTCATTCTGTGTCAGAAACCTATGCTGTGTCAAATATTTAATCACAATCCAAATTCAGAGCTGTATCAAGCTTGAATGTTGTGTCCATACTTGCCCCAACTGTTCAGGGTTCAACCTCTGCGGTCGTATCAAGCTGTGCCCAGCGGAGCATTTTATTAAATTTGGAGTTATCTTCCTTTGTCCATGATTATAGTTGAATCAACTACAATCAATGCTTTATACAATGCAATGTTTAATTTTGACTTCCACCGATAAAACACAGATCAAGTTGAATTTGGGTAGTGTCACTTTAACCATTATTGAGTTATGCCCCTTTATAAAACGAAAGATTGCAAAATTTTTAGTTTCCATTCTGTAACTTAAGTTTGCCCCAACCAAACATTATGAAACCTATACACAATATTCATTACCACAAAACTAAGATCAAGTACAAATTTTTTGTTTCCGTTTTCTAACTTTAGTTTGCCTCAACCAAATGTTATGAAACTTATACACAATGCTTATTACTACATAATACAGATTGAGTACGAAATTTGGTGGCCACACTTTTACCATTCTTGAGTTATGTCCCTTTATAAACATAAAAATTGCAGAATTTTTCGTTTCCGTTCTCTAACTTTAGTTTGTCTCAACCAAATGTTATAAAACTTATACACAACCGTTCTAGAGTTATGCGTGTTTACAAATAGAAAAATTGCTTAATTTTTAGTTTCTGTTCTCTACTTAAGTTAGCCTCAACCAAATCTTATGAGACTTACACACAATGCTTATGACCACAAAACTCAGATCAAGTTCAAATTTGGGTAGCGTCACTTTTACCGTTCTTCAGTTATGTCCCTTTATAACTATATGATATGCAAGCTGGGGCATCATCTGTGTCCACATGACTATCCACATTTATTTTTTTTAATTCTGTATTTTACTGATGAATGGACTCACTTTTTAGGTCAACCTTACACTTTTACACTGACAGCAGCAATAGCAGATGAGACGCAGGATTCCATATAATTTTTTTTATCAGGTATAACTATCATGGAACGCACCTTTAATAACAGTTTAGAATTAATCCTTGAAAAAATAAAATATTGTAATTCACCATTCCAAAACATTGTAGTATTGGTAATTTTAGTCTGATTTTGATTATGTGTGCATTGGTCAATTTGTTTATTAAGTTTTTTACCACTATAAGTCCAATGATGCCATTGAAATAAATAAAGGTGTTTTCTGACAGGACTTAGCAAAAGACTCTTGATTACCACTTAACCAATAAGAAATATCTGTGGTCAATTTATGACTGTGGCATGGCAGTTGGTCACAAAAAACTATAAGCAATAACATACTAATAAGACAGTTTCCATATCTTTTCTACAGCGTTCCCTCAAATAAATTATTGTATATTCTGTCAATGTAATACTTCCATGGTCTAACAAAAGATTTGTTTCCTTGTAAACATGAATCTCACTTGAAGTTTTAATATATATTCGAAATAGAGTTTTATGTTATTGGTATTGCTTATTTTATATTAGTGTTGTCAAATTATATCATTCTGTATTTTTCATATCTGCATGTTACTGTTATGACCAGTATATACATGTACTAATTTTTCATTTTACAATATTTAGATCAACATTATATTTGAAATATGACCAAGCCTTGTAAAGTTGGATGATTGACATTTTTATACGCCCGTCAAATTTTTGACGGGACGTACTATGTTATACAAATGTCCGGCGTCTGTCTGTCCGTCTGTCTGTCCGGCGTAAACATGTTGCACCGTAACTTGAGAATGACTTATCCAAATTTCATGAAACTTAACATAGTTGTTTCTTATGATGGTCAAACGATCTGTATACTTTTTGGTGAAAATAAGATTAAAACTTTTTGAGTTACGGGACTTAGTAACTAAAACAGGTGTGTTTTTTTTTCACATGTCGCACCGTATCTCAAAAACAATTTTGTGATTATTGCTTAAAACTTTACACACTCCTTAGTTATATTAATCTTAAGATCTGTATACTTTTTGGTGATGATTCAAAATTTTATTTTAGAGATATTGAGTATTTTGTTAAAAAAGGGGGAGGGGTTTTTCACATGTCGCGCCGTATCTCAAAAACAGTTTATGATTATTGCTTAAAACTTTACACACTTCTTAGTTATATTAACCTTAAGATCTGTATACTCTTTGGTGATGATTCAAAATTTTATTTTTGAGTTATTGAGTATTTTGTAAAAAAAGGGGGAGGGGTTTTTCACATGTCGCGCCGTATCTCTAAAACGATTTATGATTATTGCTTAAAATTTTACACACTTCTTAGTTATATTAATCTAAAGATCTGTATACTTTTTGGTTTTGATTCAAAGTTTTATTTTTGAGATATTGAATTTTTTTTTTTTTTTTAAAAGGGGGGGTTTTCACATGTCGCGCCGTATCTCAAAAACGATTTATGATTATTGCTTAAAATTTTACACACTTCTTAGTTATATTAATCTAAAGATCTGTATACTTTTTGGTTTTGATTCAAAATTTTATTTTAGAGATATTGAGTTTTTTGTAAAAAAAAAAAAGGGGGTTTTCGCATGTCACGCCGTATGTCAGAAACTATTTATGCTTATTGCATAAAAATTCACACACAAGACGACGGGCGTATCATGCGCTCATGGCGCAGCTGTCTATTACATTTACGTCCACACAATATTATGTTAAATTGAAATAATGAACTAACTAGTAAAGTTTGATCAGCTTACAATTGTTCAATGTATACTTATTGTACACACCTGTTCATGTACTGTGTAAATTATGCTTACTTAAGTTTTTTGCCAAAGCTGACAGTAAAGATGTCTTCTTGCTAATTAGTTACGAAAAATTGAATGTATTCTTTCTTAATCAAGTTGTCAATATACAGAACAATTGATTTCATTTAGTACCACAATGATCATTTTAAATTTTGCTGTGACGACTTCATATCAAATCTATTGAAATTGAAAAAGGTCTGATTAACTGTTAATTTTTTTTATCCAATATTCTGTCCTTCTGACGGTCAATCTTTTAACTGTTGACAACACTATTTTATATGTATTTTTACAAATATTGGGAAAAGCTGGGGTCAACTGATAATATTGCAAGTAGGAAAGCCAGAATCTAATATTACATGAAAAATCACCAGAATACCTGTCATTGGAAACAATGGCTATCATGATAGTGCACCACCAAAAACTGCCTCAACCTTTTTATACGACCGCGTTAAAATTTTTGTGGTCGTATATTGGTATGACGTTGGCGTCGTCGTCGTCCGAAGACTCATTAGTTTAAGTGAATGGATCTCAATGAAATTTTACCATAAGGTTCAATAATACAAAAGGAAGGTGGGGATTGATTTTGGGGGTTATGGTACCAACAGTTAAGGAATTAAGGGCCAAAAATAAGCATTTTTGTAACTTCCAGACATAACTTGTGTGTAAGTGTATGGATCTCTCTGACATTGTACCACAAGGTTCCATATCACAAAGGGAATGCTGGGATTGATTTTGGGGGTAATTGTCTCAAAATTTTAGGAATTAGGGGCAAAAAAACAAGCATTTTTCTAGTTTCATGACAATAACTTGTGTGTAAGTCTATGGATCTCTCTGACATTGTATCACAAGGTTCCATATCACAAAGGGAATGCTGGGATTGATTTTGGGGGTAATTGCCTCCAAATTTTAGGAATTGGGGGCCAAAAAGGAGCAAAAAACAAGCATTTTTCTAGTTTCATGACTATAACTTGTGTGTAAGTGTATGGATCTTTATGAAATTGTACTACAAGGTTCCATATCTTAAAGGGAAAGCTGGAATTGAGCTTGGGGGTAATTGCCTAAAAAGTTTAGGAATAAGGGGCCAAAAATAAGCATTTTTCTAGTTTCCAGACAATAACTTGTGTTCAAGTGTATGGATCTCTATGAAATTGTACTGCAATGTACCATATCACAAAGGGAAGGCTGGGATTGATTTTGGGGGTAATTCCCTCAAAATTTTAGTAATTAGGGGCCATAAAAGGGCAAAAAAACAAGCATTTTTCTAGTTTCAGGACAATAACTTGTGTGTAAGTGTATGGATCTCTCTGACATTGTATCACAAGGTTCCATATCACAAAGGGAATGCTGGGATTGATTTTGGGGGTAATTGCCTCCAAATTTGAGGAATTAGGGGCCAAAAAGGGGCAAAAAACAAGCATTTTTCTAGTTTCATGACAATAACTTGTGTGTAAGTGTATGGATCTTTATGAAATTGTACTACAAGGTTCCATATCACAAAGAGAAGGCTGGGATTGAGTTTGGGGGTGATGAATTATAAGGGGGTTCAAAAAATTTGGGGGGGGGGGGATTTTTTTTCCCTTTTTTTTCTTTAAAATTTTCCATTTTAAATTGGTTATTTCTGATTTATATATAAAAGCAAATAATAATGATATGGTCTGAATAGGTAAATTAAAAAATTTTAAGTTCTTAGACCACTTTCATTCTGTGTCAGAAACCTATGCTGTGTCAAATATTTAATTACAATCCAAATTCATTGCTGTATCAAGCTTGAATGTTGTGTTCATACTTGCCCCAACTGTTCAGGGTTCGACCTCTCCGGTCGTATCAAGCTGCGCCCCAGCGGAGCATTTTATTAGAGGATATTTTAATTGTCAATTAAAGATTCTCTAAGAGTTTCTTAAAAAAGTGTTTCTGATAAAATCCAAAAGATTCTTTCCTTTGTTGACATGAATCTCAGTTTTGATATCTCTCTACTAAGATTATTTTAAGAGTGTATTCCAAATAAACTTTTATTTAGTTCGTATTATACATTTTTTATGGGTATTTATTGATGTTGAGAAAAGTTTAGAGCAACTTTTAATTATCACACGTAAAATCAGCAGCATAGCTGTCTTTGGAAGCAATAGCATCCCACACTTCACTTCCCAATACTGTCTGACCCTTTAAACACAATTCATATAAATCTTATTGCATATATTGACCTGGTAAAATTCAATGGTTTTAAAGACATAATCTACGTAACTAATTTTTACAGTTTTGTCCAAAATTTAAACCCTAAATTTAGCAAAACTAAAATCATTGACTCATTTTTATATCTTCCAATGACAATGAATAATGATATACAACAATAAAACTGTTGTAAAGAAAGATAAGAAGACCTGTGGAGACGAGATCATCATTACCAATTTACATTTCTAGTCTTTAAAGTCCCTTATGTGTAATATTTTAAAGAGTTTTATCTATTAAAGGAACAGACAGATGATCCATAATCAATGTATGTCCATGATCATCATTCTAAAGGTGGAGATGGGAAAAAAACCTTTAATTTATTTGTATATAGATATAGGAAGATGTGGTATGAGTGCCAATGAGACAACTCTCCATCCAAGTTACAATTTGTAAAAGTAAACCATTATAGGTCAAGGTACGGTCTTCAACACGGAGCATTGGCTCACACCGAACAGCAAGCTATAAAGGGCCCCAAAAAATTACTATTGTAAAACCATTCAAACGAAAAAACCAGCGGTCTAATCTATATAAAAACGAGAAACACGTATGAACTACATAAACAGAAGACAACTACTGTAATCAGATTCCTGACTTAGGACAGGTGCAAACATTTGCAGCGGGATTAAACGTTTTAATGGTACCAAACCTTCTCCCTTTTATAACATCACAACATAGAAAAACACACTATAAAATATCAATTGGAAGGCTTAACTCAATCAAAAAACATAAATTAACACACAATGAACGAATATATTTGACCTGTGACACCTGAATGCAAATACACAGTTAATAAAAAATTAAAAGGGATAAATAATTAAAGTCAAAAGTTATGTTAATCAAATCTTCGTGCTTGCTTCTTATTTTTCATGTTGGGGCCTTTTATAGCCAACTATACAGTATGGGGTTTTCTCATGGTTAAAGGTTATAAGGTTGCCTATAATTGCTTACATCCACTTCATTTGAACTTGGGTGGTAGTTGTCTCATTGTCATATCACATCTCCTTATTTTTATAAAGCCTGTATTGGAAACACATATGTATTGAAACTTTAGATACATAGCACACAAGTACACTTCGCAAAGATCAGCAAACATTTACTATAGATTATTTCAAACGAGAGGGTGTTTCTCAGCTACAATCTCATCGAAGGGCGACAGCCCTGAGATGAGATGCGGCTGAGAAACATCCTCGAGTTTGAAAGACCATTGATAATCTGTTTATCGCTATTTTGCCAATGAGGTCGTTCATGTTTACATTGACAACGTCACATGCGCCCTTAGTTTCTGACGATAATTTTTCATCTCAAGCGAGTAGCATGATATGAAAAATTATCACCAAAAAAAGATCAAAGGAAAATGCACAAAATAGCGATAAAACTCACATATTTCATAAAAAGGAGTAGGGTAGTGTAGATCATAGTTTTTTAATAAAAATATAGTGTAAATACAAAAATCAGCATACAAGATTATAAGCTGGTTATAAAAAAAAAAGGGATGATCAGAAAATGAAGAAAACTTTCTCTTTTCATGAGTTACAAAAGAAAGAAAAAATATCAAAATTGTGCATTTCAGAAATTTATATTGCCTTTCTTTTTAAAGTAGATATTGAAATAGAAAAGAAAAAGACCACCTAGAAATTCACCGATCTGAATATAAAATATGGGTTTGCATGATTTTTATCTGTAAAAGAAAAATTAAGTCCCTCCACTGGACTATTTTCCTAATACGCACCAACTTATACAATTATAAAAGTGGCTTGAAGTGTATGTAATAACTATAAAAAAATTAACCCTAATGCTTAAATGATTTGTAGCTAAATAATTTTAGGCGAACATATTAAAATATGATAATATTATTGCAAACCAAATGAAACTTTTCCACAGTCATCTTCTCTTGGTCAAGGTATTTAAACTTTTTATGCCCCCACCTTGACGGAGGGGGCATTAAGTCTTACCCTTGTGCGTAATTACGTACGTATGTCCGTACGTCCCGAAATTGGTTTCCATTCTCTAACTTTAGTTTTGTTAGTTCAATGTCCAATTGAATAAATACAATAGCTATTGTTCTCTGTGTAGTTTATTCACTGGGACCTTTAAATTTCTTCTAACAGAAATCCATCATTCATTGATTAATCTACCTGAATAAAAAAATTATCTTTTTTTAAATAGATGACAATACATGCTTCAACTCACAAAACTACATGTGATGTTGTATTTATGCAATATCAATAATACATTTTCGATCTGTTCAATATAAACACTGATTTAATCACAAAAAGTTGATTTCTGACAATTTTGTTCATCATTGTTCCTATTGAAATTTGCATTTTTTGTTTTTGTTTAGTTATAGAATACTGTGGATTCATTTATTTTCGTGGGTACCAATTTTCGTGGATTGAGGAAAACTTGCATATTCGTGGATATTTGATTTCGTGGTTTCCCAGAAGTTTGCATATAATCATACAGCAAATTTGCAATTCGTTGAACACTTAAATTCGTGGTTTTCCTGTGCCCACGAAATCCACGAAAATTGGTATCCAACGAATATTAATGAATCCACAGTACGTTTAAGAAGGCCTTAATTTAAACATTGTCATTTTCCAGTTTTTATTTGTCAAACACCAAAAAAAAAAAAAATCGATAGGAACAATGTTGAAAATTTTGTTAGAAATCAACTTTTAATGTTTGAATCACCGTTTACATTAAACAGATTGAAAATATATTATTAATATTGAATAAATACAAAATCACATGCAGTTTTGTGAGTTAAAACATGTATTTTCATCTTTTAGAAGATATTTTTTACCTTAGGTAAATTAATCAATGAGTGATGGATTTCTCTTAGAAGAAAATTAAAGGTCCCAGTGAATAAACTATACAGAGAACAATAGCTATTGTATTTATTCAATTAGACAATAAAAATGACAAAAGTTTAAATAGATTGACCAATAGGAGATGACTCTGGAAAAGTTTTATTTGTAATAAAATAGATCTTAATTTTGAAGTTTTCCAACAAAAATCGACAGACCAACATTTTAAACAATTATCGGTATGTTTTTCCAAAGGTATGAAACTCAATTTGAAAAATTCAAAGTAAATCTAGTCATTTGTTTATTTTTTAGCTCACCTGGCCCAAAGGGCCAAGTGAGCTTTTCTCATCACTTGGCGTCCGTCGTCCGTCGTCCGTAAACTTTTACAAAAATCTTCTCCTCTGAAACTACTGGGCCAAATTTGACCAAACTTGTCCACAATCATCAATAGGGTATCTAGTTTAAAAAATGTGTCCGGTGACCCGGCCAACTAAACAAGATGGCCGCCATGGCTAAAAATAGAACATAGGGGTAAAATGTAGATTTTGGCTTCTATCTCTGAAACCAAAGCATTTAGAGCAAATCTGACTTGGGTAAAATTGTTTATCAGGTCAAGATCTATCTGCCCTGAAATTTTCAGATGAATCTGAAAACCCGTTGTTGGGTTGCTGCCCCTGAATTGGTAATTTTAAGGAAATTTTGCCGTTTTTATACGACCGCAAAAATTAAAAATTTTTTGGTCGTATATTGGTATGACGTTGGCGTCGTCGTCGTCTGGCGTCGTCCGGCGTCGTCCGAAGACACATTGGTTTTCGCACTCTAACTTTAGTTTAAGTGAATGGATCTCCATGAAATTTTACCATAAGGTTCAATACCACGAAAGAAAGGTTGGGATTGATTTTGGGGGTTATGGTACCAACAGTTAAGGAATTAGGGGCCAAAAAGGGGCCAAAAATAAGCATTTTTGTAACTTTCAGGCAATAATTTGTGTGTAAGTGTATGGATCTCTCTGACATTGTACCACAAGGTTCCATATCACAAAGGGAAGGCTGTAATTGATTTTGGGGGTAATTGCCTCAAAATTTTAGGAATTAGGGGCCAAAAAAGGGGCAAAAAACAAGCATTTTTCTAGTTTCATGACAATAACTTGTGTGTAAGTGTTTGGATATTTCTGAAATTGTACTACAAGGTTTCATATCACAAAGTGAAAGCTGGAATTGAGTTCGGGGTAATTGCCTGAAACGTTTAGGAATTGGGGGCCAAAAAGGGGCCAAAAATAAGCATTTTTCTAGTTTCAAGACAATAACTTGTGTTCAAGTGTATGGATCTCTGTGAAATTGTACTGCAAGGTACCATACCACAAAGGGAAGGCTGGGATTGAGTTTGGGGGTGATGAATCATAAGGGGGTTCAAAAAATTGGGGGGGGGGGGGGGATATTTTTTTTCCTTTTTTTTTCCTTTTTTTTTCTTTTAAAATTTTCCATTTTAAGTTGGTTATTTCTGATTTATATTTAAAAGCAAATAATAATGATATGGTAGGAGATACACACCAAACAGGATGTGTAAATTTTTATATAATAAGTATTGTGCAATAGCAAGAAATTTTCAATTGCACAGTATTACACAATAGCAAGAAATCTTCAATTGCACAGTATTGCGCAATAGCAAGAAATCTTCAATTGCACAGTATTGCGCAATAGCAAGAAATATCCAATAGCACAATATTGCGCAAGAGCAAGAAATTGTCAATTGTACAGTATTGCGCAATAGCAAGAAATATTCAATTGCACAGTATTGTGCAAAAGAAGATACTTCATATAAATTGCTTATTTCTTGATCAATTTCAATGGGGTTTTATTCTTGAATTCTTGGGGTTCTTTAATATGCTGAATATAACCGTGTATTAAGTTTTTGGATTTTGGGCCCCGTTTTTAAATTGGTCCACATTGAGGTCCAAAGGGTCCAAAATTTAACTTTGTTTGATTTCATC